GCTATCCATTCGGCCACCTCAGCTCCGTACTGGAATAGGTAGATTAGGCTTCATATATTTATAGCACTGTTTCAGAAGTTTCCAAACTGCTAAAACTGGAATCATAGGCCCAACACAATATTTACCACTAGCCTACCGCAGCCAATCAGCTTCTGGCTGACGGGGCTGCAGCTAGCCGCAAGTAGAATTCTGTGGGTTATATTATCATTATTTTGCCTTCTCAACGAAAAGAGTGCCATGTTCCCAGGCTGAGTGTTTGTTTTTGATTTTGGGAAATAGGTTAGGCTTAGGTGCAGATTTTACTCTATTTTCAGAAACATGTCATCATTGAAATATTGATGGCGTTTCATAGCTCTATAGCCCACAAAATTGAGTTGAATAATTCATGTATACATATATATATATAATATATAATATGCAGGAAGGCAGTTTTCAGCTTCATTTCATTAGCAGGAATTATGCCATTTAATCCTGTTAAAAATCGTGTCTTTGTGCTGTTGCCGTGGGCTTTTGACATCTGTTACAACTACATTAGCCTTTTAAAATATTTCGATCTTTGAACTGGGTGGACATTTTCATCGTTCATGTTGTTATTAACTGGGAGTAAACTGCGCGTGTTTTACATAAAGAAATTCGCGGTTTTTTGTTTTCCTCCTGGGAATTAAGCAAAATCGAAAGTTGACACTTCCTCTGCCGTCTCTGACTTACGAAGTATCCAAATGTGCATGGTGCAACATTTTAATCATTGTTAGAACATTAGATAAATGTGTCTGCTGGGGCACAAGAGTATGTTCTGGTAAGCAAGAGTGTGCCTGTTTGTTAGGATTTGTTCTTATCTAGATTTTAAGATCTAGGAACTGGCTACCCCGGGTGAGAATAAAAATAGGAAGTAGGCCTGTCCTAAGTCAACTACAGTACTCTAGTCTACTCTAGATTCTAGATCTAGATTTAGATTTAGATCTAGACTCTATAACTAGATCTATAAACTATAAGTGATTTTATTCACACCGGGTGTTAACAAGATAGATCTTAGATCTAGATCTAGTTCACTCCTCTCTTTGAGCCAATTAAAAAAGTGACATGAGACTACACGCAGGGTGTAAACTGGGCTCTGATTGGCTGAACCTGTGACTAAGGAGGCCTCCGAGTAGGCTACTCTGCTTGGCACTCTCGATGACACCCTCCCTGTCACTCTCACCACCCTCCCTCCCTCTCTCTCTCTCTCTCTCTCTCTCTCTCTCTCTCTCCCTCTCTCTCTCTCCCTCTCTCTCTCCCTCCCTGTCTCCTTCTTTCCCAAGGTAGGGTAACAAACGAAAAAGTCCCCAAGAGTCTAGGTCTAGACTCTAGATTCTTCTTCTTTTTTATTTCTTCATCCTCTTCTTGTTCTCATTCTCCTCCTCCTTCTTCTTTCTCTTCTTCTTCTTCTCTTCTTCTTCTTCTTCTTCATCTCCTGCTCCTCATTCTTCTTCTTCTTCATTTCTCCTCCTCCATCTACACCTCCTCCCCAATTCTCCTTCTTCTTCTTCTTCTTCATCTCCTCCTCCTCCTCCTCCTCCTTCTTCCTCTTCTTCATTTCTCCTCTTCCATCTACACCTCCTCCTCCTCAATTCTTCTTCTTCTTCTTCCATGAGCACTCAACCCGCTGTGAGAAGACGGTCATAGACGCGAGACCGAAACCGGGATTCCCAGAGTACCCCCCACAGGTTTACGCCCTGAGTGTAGTCGCATGTAAAAAAGTGTCCTCAAAATTTGGTGGCGCACTCTTCGAAAAAGTGCGGACTTTGCGGACAGAGTTAGATCTACCCTAATTGTGTGAAAAATAATAAAAGTGAAATTAACAGGTCTACTGCTTCCTTTGCTCTAAGACTAAGACCATCACGCTGGGAAGCGAAACGGAAATGGTAGACCTAGATATAGATTATGTTAGATTCTAATCATCAATGCAAAAGAGCTCCGTGTTCACTCTGTCGCAGTTAACAACGCGTTAGTTGTCACAGTGTCACTCTGTCGCAATTAACTTTAGATCTACCTTTTTTTAATGAAGTGACTATTTCTCCGAACGTTCAGAAAAATAAACTTGAACTCTATTTCTCCGAACGGTTTCCGTTCTGGAGATTTTTTGGTTATTTGCAAGATTTAGGCGTCATCTTTCATTCTGCCATTCTGCGAGGACTGGAAAGAAACATTTTTTTGCATCGAATTCAGTTTCTAGAGCTAGATCTAGATCTAGAGATAATGTCTGAATACTCAGATACGGGTATTTCAGTTGTGGTTGGGGCAACGTTCCCGGACTATACTGCATTTGAAAGTGCCTTCAAAAGGTACTGCGAGAAAACAAGACTGACCGACCTTGGCAGTAACTTATTTTGCATTTAGTCACCCAGCAAAAACTAAAATGCTTTCATGTAAACAAAAAAAAATCAATCCATGCCCCCCACCCCCACGCCCCGTTCACACCTTACACACACATGCACACTCACTCACACACACACACACCCACACTCACCCACACACACACACACACGGGCCTCTCCATTCGCAATTATTATCAACAAATCTCGAGAACGGAAACCATTCAGAGAAATAGAGTTCAAGTTTATTTTCCCTAGCGTTCGGAGAAATAGAGCCGGCCTTTTTTAATCATCGACCTGTCTCATTTTATAAGCCTAGGCCAGGCACTATTTAAACTATAATAATATAAGATCTAGGTATAGATAGATAGACTCTACAACTAAGGAAGAGTAAGACTAGTCTAGTACTTGACACTTTACATTTGTGAGCAGATGATAGATCTACTAATTTTCAGAAGAATGCATTGTTCAAAGTTATCTTTACACCTTCATTGCCAGGGGGTGGGCGTTCTTACTGTCAGCAGAGATTTTCAGCTAAGGCTAAGGCTAAACTCATTAGCTTGGACAGCAGTCTCATCTCAGTGTTAGTTTACTCACAAAACAATATAGATCTAGCACATTAGTGACATATTTTGGGCCCTGGGTCTTCGATAGTGTCACTTTCCCCACTTTACTCATTCCATAATATTCCCCCTCTAGATCTAACTCATAATTTTTTTAACTTGCAAGAAGTCTTCTAACTCAAGTAAAAAATTGTGCCTTTATTTATAAAGTCATTTTATGTGTATACGTTTATAGAGAGCATGCAGTCATCCACTTGACTAGACCTGTTTTTATCACTTGCAAGCCTAGCAAAAAAATATGTGATACCAGTTGGGGTTGTAAGAATATTTTACAAATTCTCAAATTTTTATACAAGTTCGCACTGAGCTTGAAGCTAAATATACAGAAGAATAAGAGCCAGACTATTAGCATGTCATACATGATACATGTCAAAATGTGAGGCAGCGTGGTAAAATCAGGTTCTCGTCAAAATAATAAAAATGAAGAAACTGGCATTTTGCCGCCAGTTTGGCTATTTATCGAAATTTATTGTTTTTTTGGCTCAAGAACACCTTTCATGGGAGGGTGCGGTGGCCGAGTTTTTAGTGCTCTTGTCTCCGAAGCGGGAAGTCCGGGTTCGAGCCTCGGTTCGGACTTGGATTCTTTCGTCCCCTCCTGCCCACCCAGCAGTAATGGGTACCTGACTTCGAGTTGAGGAAGAAAAGGCGACGTGGAAAGGAACTGGCCACCCTACCACAATATGCCAAAGGCCCAGGCAGTTGTCTCACTAACAAGGCAATCCCCAATGTCCGGATCGGATGCGGGAACAACTTTAGATTTTACCTTTCATGCCCATTAAAGAGCACATTTCTGTTTGGATTTTACTGAAAAAACGTTGATTAAAGGCACAAACAATGTAAATTTTCAGTTTCCACAGACTCTCAAGCTAAGGAACTACTTATCTTTGGCTGCCATTTTCTCTCTAATTTTACCTCTGGAACCAGGTGACCCCCACATCCTTCATTCGCTAATAGATTCTATATCGACTTGTATTCAAGATAAATGGATTTTTTTTTTCATCCAAAGCAAGACAAAGGAACAAGGTTTAAGATGATAGCAATAACTCTACATGCCCAAAAATTGACGAGAGCCTGATTCCACCTTCCACCACGTCGTGGCATAAATGCTAAGGCTGTTCCCTTTACAGTGCATAGCAAAAGTAGTGTACAGGTCAGTCTTTTTTGCCAGAATCAGATCGAGACAAACGCACAATGCTGACATTTATGTTGTTACACTATTAATTAACAACTTACTGACTTACATTTGTATATATTAGGTCTGGCCCATTTTTTTTTTTTTTATGTGAAAGGGCTTGACTCTACTTTCCCAATATGATCGCACTTCCAGGCTATCCCATTTTTTGAAACTTTGTCTGTCTTAGCAATTCCTTCTGTCTTTTGTTACGATCGCCGGAGAAATTAGATAGTTTTAATGATAAAAAAGTTTTTATGCGACTTTTTTTTTTCATTGCAGGAACATCTTTTGTGAGAGCTTGAAATGACTGCTCTGAGGTTTTGTTTCGAAGATTACATTTCATGATTGCTACTCCCAGTTTGCTCAAACATGGGAAAGAAGTTTTGAAAATATTACCTTTGTTTTGTTTTCAAAGCATTTCAATTTTGCTATCTATATCATTTTTGTTACTTCCTTTTTATTGATGCTGCAATTGCTCTTTTTTTTGTTTCAGCCATGAATTACAAAAATGAGACTTCATTTTGCTACTGCTTTCACTAAACATTGGAGGCAGAGTGCTCGTTCACTACGCAAGATAAAAGAATTGGATTCTGTTTCTTCCAAAAAGTACTACAAAATTGAGGAGGGAGTTTTAAACAGAATAAGGTAGGTCCAAGAACTCACGATCTCAGTGCTTTCTTGTCGTATCTCCATTTTTAATAATAGTGAAAACAGTTCATGACAAAGAGTGGGCTAAAGGAGAAGTCACATTTTCATTGTTTAAAAAAATGGAGATATGACAAAAAAGCACTAATGTCACGAACTGTTAAGATTGTTATTTCTTTGAGATACATGTAATATAAAAACAAAGAACCCAAAAGAATGTCTATTGATGAAGGAATCTGCATTGAATGTTTATATCTCTGAGAGTGATTCTGTATCTGCTGAACATATTCTGTTCTTTTTGTGAAAGAGATATGTATACAAAGGGAAAGTATGCTTCATTCTTGATATGTAAAGCAAATTAAGGGGGTATTTCTTCTTGGAAGTCCTGATTTTGTCAGCCAGATGAATTGATCGTCAAAAATTGCTTCCCTACCATTCTGATAGTGCCAATGGTCATTGACAATGTGGTACACCAGTGTACTTATTTTGGTTTCACCATCAGCCACCACATGTCTGTAAGATGATATTAATCAATTATCTAATCAGCAAGGCCACAACAACCTTGGGATGACTGACCACTCTGGGAAAGCCTCAAACTGACCACCACCACCAAGATGGCTGTGCACAATGTTTGTGTTGTCAGCACCATCCTTTACATCCAGTACAACTACAACCTTTTGGCAGGGAAAGGCATCTGCTGAACACTTTTCATCTGCAGTGTCTTCACTGCATCCTTTGCATCAGAGGGGCAACAATAAAACGCCCCAATCTACTGGCCTCCCCACCTAGTACATGCTACTCCGACAATGCAGACTTCGCTAATTTGGCCATGTGCACTCTTCACGTGCATTCGGAGATCCCCCAACTAGCCACATTTTGCACCTTGTGTGCTGCAGGAATTACGACTCCCTCATTGGTTTCACCAGCCACCAACATTCCTGCTCCAGCAGCTACACCAAAGAACTCTAGGACACATTGTCCATAGTCGTCAATTAGGTCTACGTACCTTTGAAGATGGGTATACAGACATTTTTGTTTGCTCATTTTTATCGTACACAGATAATATTTTCTTATAATTTGAATCTAACACTCTGTGTCAATACTTAACTAGTCCTGTTGTGGATGTTTGAACATTTCATCTTTGTCTTTTTGATTGCTTTCCCTTTTTTTTCCCCAGATATCTATTAGCTGAGTTTCCTAGGGTCATGATGGATGAGAGTCTACACAAACAGTCTGACATGGTACCACCAGAGACTGTCAAAGGTCAGAATAACAAGTGTTAATTTTTATATTTTATGTATCATCAAAATACACTTCTTGTACTAGTTTCATTAGTTTGTCTTCTCTTAACACTTTGCAGTCACACTGCCAGCAGTACAAAATACCCCATCTGGTCACCCAGCCAGAAGAGTGACTGCATCTGACTTCTCGCGCCAGGTGACCGTGACGAATAATTTTCTCCGTCGCATTATTGCGGCAAGTGACTGTAAAATGTAAAATAGTTTAAACCAACAAATAAAATTTATATACTGCAGTTTCTGTTTTGTTTACATAGTCTAGCATCTGCATTTGTCGCTGTCACAATTCACAATTTTATAGCATTTTTTGGTCTGCTAATCGTGGCCGCCATTTTTGCATTTTTCAAACAAAAAAAACAAAAAAAACACCACCAGGGACTGAAAATAATTTTAAAATGGGGAATAAATATCGATAGACAAAAGAAAAGTTTTTAAAAAAACGAACCTTTTTTTTTTTAGAAAGAAAGTTTATTTTGACATCCGCTTCACTTCATCCTTTTCTCACCTGTTGACATCATGTTGATTTGTTATTTTCATGTGAAGAATAATAATATATAGATCTATGTACAATATGTACTACAGTCAAACCTGTGTAAGACGGCCACCCACTGTCAAGGAGAAAAGTGGCTGTATAAGACAGTTGGCCATCTTAGGCAGGACTGATCAAGATGAAAAAACGAACCATTCCCTTCTGAAGTCCCAATTTATTGTTGTTGTTTTTGTTGTTGTTGTTGATTTGTATTTTGTTTGTTATTTCTATTTTGTTGCTGATTTTGCGCAAGGGTGACAATAAAACGAAATGTATCAGACGAGGAGGACCGAGTGCCATGTTAAAACAAACACATGGGTCGCCACCACCCAGAGAACGAGCGACGCTTCTGTCACAAGTCCATGTTGACCTCCATTGTTACTTTGTTACAAACTGGGTACACAGTGACCGCTCATCTCACTTACGATTTGCGTATGAGTTCTGGGCGGGGCTTATGGTTTATGAGGGATCACACGCTTACGCCACCAGCAGCTGAAAATTGGTAGCCTACCTATTGGTCAACAGAGGGAGGGGCCTACGCAATATGATCGGTTGGAGGGACTACCTAACAACAACGACAAGTGATTGGATTATGACGGCTCGCCCACAACGCCAGGGGCCAAAGCACAATTTATGACAAAACATAATGGAGTCACTAAGGTGGCTGTCTTAGACTGTTGTTATTGCTTAGTGTGATAGGGGTTGTGTCTTAAAATATGGTGGCCGCGGCGGCGTTGGACAGGTGCCCGTTTTACACAGTTAAATTATATAGAAAAAACGCAAGGGGGGAAATTGAAAGTGGCCGTTTGTACAGGTGGCCATCTTATAGAGGTGGCCGTCAGGGCAGGTTCGACTGTATTTATATTGCTGTTTCTCTTTTATTTTTCCCTCGTTGTTGTGTTTTAATTTGTTGGTGTGTCAATTTTGTTGTTGTTTTTATTGTTCTGATGTGTTGTTTTTCTGTTTTTTGTGTTTATATAGCGTCATTCAATTTGATGTTCTTCCTACCTTTTTATATATTTTACGTGTAACTATAATAAATGTGTTATGTTAGAATGTGTCTCCACCAATCCACCAATACCGAATTCTTACACTGGCAGGCCCCTTGTGGGATTCCACAGTTTACATATAATATCCTGTACTTTTTCTTGAATTATGCTGGTTTAGAGTTAATACGGCCAATCTTCGGATAGGTGGACACACGCCTTTATTTGTTCATTTTTGTGGTTGTTTATATGTGCTTTTCTAATTTTGATTTCATTCTGTTGTGAAACCTTTATTTTTCATGTTTTTACACCCTGTGTGACTACAAATGATATTCTGGATGCTTAAAACAGAGCACAAGAAATTCTGGTGCTTTAGATGAAGTTACCTCTATCAACATCAATAATACTGCTATACGTCGTCACAGAGAGTTGAAAGCTTGAAAATTAATGGCAACTTTTGCCATGTTTTGTGGCAACTTTTGGACCAAAAAATGGCAACAAACGCAGACGTTAGCACAATGCTAAGGTATATGATTTGAAGAAATGGTTATTAAATTGGATTAGAAAGTCTTCTAAACCAAAGAAAACTTCTCTTATGATAAATTCTTTGAATGACTGGAAGTGCATGAATATAAGCAGATCTTTGATTTATAGAACACATTTTTAGTCTTCCTAAGTAATAACAATTCTCTTTTACGAGCTGATTTGGCGGAAATAACTGCCACTATTGAAATCATGGTGAAAGGATGAATTGTCTAGATCTAGTCTTATGTTTAAAATTTTATTCCAGGCATGACAGTTTTGTCGAGAGAGGCTTTCACAAAGAAAGTAAAAATTCCATGTCTGAAGATTGCCAAAAAAAAGCTTGCACCGACTGAGAAATTCTGGAAGCCTTTGCAGTTAAGGTGTAGAGGAATCAAGCCTATTGCAGCTCTTGGAGACAGCGATCCACTGAGCAGCACACACAGCCTTTTATTGCTGGATCCAGAGAAAGTAGCAGCCAAACCTCTGTCAGAGGAGGCAATAGGGGCCTTGGACCTGGAGAATGGAGAACTCAAGGACTTTGAGGTTGTAAGATTTTGTGGGTTCCTTAAACCCAATCTTTAGATATTTTTTCTATAATAAGGATTTTGACATACTTTCAATACTTTATGTAACAAACTTTCGTTTTTGCTTCTGTGGTAATGTTTTTGTGACAAAATAATTCTCGTTTTTCAAGTATGTGTGGGGATTGCTTTGGTATGAAATTTTTTTTAATAGTGGCTACATTTTCCCTTTGTATCTATTATCAATATAGTGGAACGGATGAACACTTTGAAGTTGTTCTTTTATTTTTGCTGCTTTTTAAAGTTGGTTTGTGAGTAGCGAATGTGTTGTCACGTCGTCTCGAAGCGTATATCTATCTATTTGAAGCAGAAACAAAGGGGAAACTTTGAAGACGTTTTTCTCAAAACTTTGTTTCTGTACCTTGCCTTATAAAATCACCCACATCTCAAAAACTACTGAAGATATCTGAAAAATTCAAAAGGCATATTGTTCAGAAATGATCTCTGTACATGAAAATGAAAAAAAAAAACCACAGGATTCCTCAAAATGTGTCATTTAGTATCTTTTACCAGGCACATACACATATGTTGATATGAGAGTCTGTAAATTTGGACCTCATGTTGGCCTTTAACTTTTGTTCTATGTAATACTGCTTCTGTCTTGTGCAGAGAAAGTTGATTGTTCCATCCTACTGTTTTTGATTTATTGATGTCTATTTGGTATTCAAAATTGTGGGTGGTTGGTGGGTGCTCTGGTATGGTTTGTTCTTCTTTCCTATCTAACATCTATCGTCCTTATTTCCCCTCCTTCTTTTTTGTGTTTGTTACTCTCTTGTAACACCTCTAATCTTCTTGCGCTCATATGACCCAATGCGGTTGTGAGCGCCGTAAAACCTCTACTAAAACAAAAAAGATTTGAAAGACGAAATGCGTATGTTTTGATTCAACAATTGATTATAAGCATTATGTTTTTTATATAGACTAGTTGTTTGTTTGTTTTTTAATTTGTTGTTAAATACAGTCTAATCCCAACAATTCACCAATGTTGGGATGAGCATGAAATTGGCGGTATTGCCAGCTGCCGACTACCCAACATCAAGGGACATAATTCTATCATGACTAGATGAAGGACAATATTTTAATGAGTTATTTTCCTTTGTCCAAAACTTGATGAGATGGCCTTCAGGTTTCCTGTCTGTGATTATATATATTATATATATTTCTAGCTGACAGTGTATTTCTGGGTGCTAGTGTTGTGGCAGTGTTGCAAGACAAAGTTACATTGAGTTTAAAAAGGACCAGTTTGCAGAAGACAGCTTAAAGGGGCATTTAGTATGTTTATTGAAGTTTTTCTTTCTGTACATTGGCAAAATATCGGTGTAACAGGATTTGACTGTAAATTCTCTGGGCATGCATAAACAGCGAGAGAAGTAGTGGTAGTTTAGAAATAAACTACTTACAATTTGTACCAAATTGTATACTATTATGTGTTGTTTGGCACATCCGAAATTCACTACAATAGTCCAAGCCAGCCACTCATTCTCGTTGAAAAATGTGATTGCCTTAGACAGGTGGATGTCTTGGACAGTATCATCATAATATATTTTAAAATCCCGCAAGGTGGAAAATGGTCATTTGTACAAGTTATTGTCTTGGACAGAAGGCCGTTTAGAGCATGTTCAACTATATATGAGTATGTGTGTAGTGACTCATTCACTGCTGTCTGACTTATGACTTTATGACATCATTTATTTCAGATTGAATTCTCTTATGAGAATTGGTCTGTTCCTGATATCATGAGGGCTGTTCTCCCTAGCGACGCAGACAATGTTTCCTCTTTCACTCAGATCGGTCACATTGCACATCTTAACTTAAAGCCAGAATCAAGCCCTTTTAAAAGTCTTATTGGTGAGTTGTTTTAGAAAATTTTAAACTGTTCATGTCTTCATGCTGCTTATGCTTGATGGTTCTCACAAACAAGTAAATGAAATGGGAAAAGAGCTTGAGACTGTTAGGATTTATTTTAAATGCTTTCTTTTATTTGGTTATTCAAAAGTGTGTCAGGGAGGGTGAAGGGAATTATTTGCATATATTATATATATATCAATGAATTCGTTGCTGTTACTATTTCTGTATTCTGCGTTTCCTTTTTTGAGGTGTGTCTCACAAAGAGATACTTTTTGTTGTTATCTTGTGTACAACTGTTGGTAATTCTGTTTGTAACAGAACTTTTTTTCCCCTTCAGGCCAAGTCATTTTGGACAAGATTCCCACTGTAAAGACTGTGGTGAACAAGCTCAATGCCATCGACAACACTTTCCGTAACTTTCAGATGGAACTGCTGGCTGGTGAGGAGAACTACGTGGCGCAGCTGAAGGAGCACAACTGCACGTTTGAGCTGGACTTCTCCAAGGTCTACTGGAACTCCAGACTGTGTGAGTGCACGGCTGTCTTTGCCAGCAGGCATTTGCCCACTTTGTCTTCTTCATAGTGATCTATCAGCCGTTTTGTTGCGAAAAGTATAAATAAATATGCTTGTTAACTATATAGCAATGCCCACCGAGCGCGTTTTGTTCTGCCGATTTTTGGCCCCCGCAGCGGGGGTGTTTCGTGGGACGCACTAACGCAAAGGTTGTTGTCTTCAACTCGCTCTCACGCCGCTTCTCGTGTATGGATATGAATGAAACTTGGCAGCCAATCAGAAAAGAGGTCAATCTCGTAGTATGCAGTTTGACAACATTGTACCCATCCTAGGAGCAGTCGAAAACGTTTGCGAAAGTGGTTGATGTGGTGCACTTTGAAGATTTTTCGGAGCTGTGATTTGTCAAACTGACTGATACGTTGTACACCATTTTTCTTTATTCCCTTAAAATTTCAAGCTTCTGTGTTTAGCGGTTTTCGGGTAATCTTTAAAAATGTGGGAGTAACTAAGGGAAAAAGCGACATTGCCATTTGCGCGTACTGGGTGAAGGAACTGTTGCTGGGAAATTTCCACTGAGTGACGTCATCAGCCATTGGTCGCCTCGGGCGCTACAAACGAGGCCCCGCTTATGTGAACCGGAAAGGGGGGGAAGGATACTTGAAAACTAAACGGAGGCCTTGATAACTTGCGTTTTTGTTGCATTTTAGTCACAATACAATAGATGTAGTCATTTTTATTTGCTTGATTGCATGACAGAAGAATAGAAACAGAAAAGCAAACATCTTGAGAAGTGGTATGGCATTGTGTTTGCGTTATGAAAGCCTATTCCCCCCTCTTGGGAAAGCACACACTTGGACTCGTCCTGTGTGCTCTGTTTGGAAAAGTGAGGCATCAAGATTGTTATTAAAGAGAATGGTACTTATTTAGTCCAGTCTGGGAAGATAGTCCCGTTTATACATTGTTATCATTCACGCGTGCGTGCGTGAGTGCGCACGCGTGCATGTGTGTGTGTGTGCTCGCACGTGCATGTGTGTGTGTGTGCGCGCACGTGCATGTGTGTGTGTGTGCGCGCGCGTGAGAGAGAGAGAGAGGGGGGGGGGGTGTAAATATGTTACATTTATTGTATGAGTTGTAGCCTACTCATGCGAAATATTCCCATGACTTGTAAACTATATTATCTGAACGCATCTTAATCTAACACACAATAGGACACTGTCCAACAATGGATATACACAGAGACGATCTTATTTTCTATAACAAAGTATGCATGCTTTTACTAGTACAGAACTGGATTTATTAGTAGCTCTCTACTTACATTTTTGTGACAAATTGATCCAGAACATTGCTTGGCAAGGAGGAACCTTTTATGTTGCCAAGTTTCATTCAAATATCATGACTTTGGGAGAACATATGACTGATAATCTTTGTAAATCTGTAAAGAACGCCACTTTTTTACCTGTTAATGTCTTTACAACTCAAAAAGTATGACAGATATTAAAATCTGACAGCATGACTAGATTCTGCATTAAGAAATGTACTAGACTGCCAAGTTTTATTTACATATTCCAAGAAATAGGCGAGGTATGACAATATTGTCTCAAAACGCACCGAAAACCGCCACATTTTTACCTATAAACGTCTTCATAACTCAAAAAATAGGATAGCTATGAAAAATCTGAAAGCAGGACTAGATTCTGCACTAGAAAATGTACTAGGTTGCCAAGTTTCTTTTAAATACTCCGAGAAATGAGCGAGTAATGACGAATATTGTCTCAAAACTCCTCAAAGAACGTCCCATATTTTGGGCTTTTTTCATTATATAAAAGTGTACCAGAAATTAATTGATTAAAAAATCCGTAACTTTTTTGTTTATTGATGGATTTCAAAAATTCAAAAAGTTCCATGCTCTGTGAAGATAAAGCTACAAAATGCCACTATTTGCAAACACTTTCTGACAAAAAAAGGATTTTCGTGGTCATTGCTAAACTATACCACCTGATTTTTGCTTTGGTTTTCAAAGGAGTATGTGGTAAACATTATATCTGGTGTCTAATTGCAGAACAAATATCATGAAACTGATAGCAGTTACAAAAAAAATATTTTTTTGTTCCCTCTTGTAAGTTATATATTTCGCTTATTTGATTAGTGAAAAGAAATTATGAAATATTGTAATAAAACTGCTAGAGAAATTCAGAGTGGATGGAACAAATTTTCTAGCTTAGCTAGCTCATAGTTGTTCGTGTCTGTCACCATGCACTGAGTGTTATGTTGTCTCATTCATGCTTTTGCAACAAGAAATGTTATTATTGTATATATACTCTCTCGTTTTTCCCCCCTTCCTTCTTTGGATGATTGAGGGGTCAGTAATAAGACTGACTCATTATAGCCAAGTTGAGCCGTATTCTTGTTACTATTCTATGGTATTACATAAATTAGAGAACGATTTGCTTTAAAATTAGAACTTGTTAAAAATTTTATTACACTGCCTTGTTTTTGTAGGCTTTAATTATTTACTTATTCATATTTTTTATTTGGGGGGGGAGGGTGTTGCAGTGCTTGGGCGATATGATAGTGCAGGTCTGAATCTACTTATCTTAGTATTTTTATTGTTTCTCTATTTTTCAGCTACAGAACACAATCGTGTGGTCAGCTCTGTGGAACGGGAAAGTATTGTCTACGACGTGTTTGCGGGTATTGGACCTTTTGCCGTACCTCTGGCAAGGAAACGAAGGTGCACTGTGTTTGCCAATGACTTGAACCCTTCGTCGTTCCAGTACCTTCGGAGGAATGTGGAGCTCAATAAGATCACTCTAGGCCATGTACACACATACAACTTGGATGGTCGAGAGTTTATCAGGACTGTTGTCAGAAAGGATTTGATGACGAGAATTCTCAACGTGTCTGAAGTGAACAGTGAGAAAAATACCAGTAGTTCTGAAGTGGTCTCTGATCAAGCTGATGCATCACAGCAAACAGTGACACAGTGTGAGACTTTGTCTTCTGTAACAGAGACACACACTGTCAGTAATCAGAAGGACACCTCATCGTCATCACCATCAACTTATGTGATAATGAATCTTCCTGGGTTAGCAGTAGAGTTCCTCGATGCTTTCAACTCCCTTCTCAGTGACTTGCCTCCTGCAGTGGTTTCCCGGACAGACCAGTGGATGAACGTCCTGCCCACTGTCTTCTGCTACAGTTTCACTCCCAAAACAGAGGACATGGAGGTGGAGATGAGGTCGAGGGCAGAGACAGCTCTAGGGAGGCCTCTGCCTCAGGATTTCTCTGTGAGGCTCGTTCGTAATGTCGCTCCTAAAAAAGAGATGGTGTGCCTGACATTCAAGTTGTGGCCAGATTTGGTGCTGGGTCAATCAGAGGACAGGGCGGAACAAAATGGAAAGATTGAGAGTCGGAATGGTAAGTGAAAGGATTTGTCGGTAAAAGTATTGAAATGGTATAGAACTCTCCAAATTTATCAGCACAAATTAATATATAAATGTTATTCCTTTCTTTGACAAAAGCCCAACTAAATTGCCAGTCATTGCTCATTTCACTCTGCAGACTGTGTTCTTATATCACCCATTGAGGTCCAATAGTTTCACTTCTGCTACCAGCCACTATCAGAAGTTTTGCCCTACTATGAGTATGAGCTTTTCTTTTATGTAGACCAAATTATGTTTGAAGTATTGTAAAGTGGTCCTCAAAACCTGATCATCCTCTGGGGGGGTTATTATTCTAGCTGTACTGGAACCAAAAGGGGTTTTAGCTTTATTTACTATTTAGTAATTACAATAGATTTTTGTTGTTATAATTATGATAGCTTTATCATTCTATACCACTGACTTACAAATATTATTAGGTTTATTATTAATGATTCACATCATCAGTATGTCCTCTTTACCGAAGTTGTTTAGTTCTAAAGCCTCTTGAAATTTGGAAGAAAGGTTCTAAGGGGTGTTTTAGTACAAATAAAGAGCTCTTCTCATGCATATATACCTAATTTTTTTCCTGACTTCATAAGTGTAGGTATGGTCAACCAGAAGCTTGGGATTCTTTCACAGGTTTAGCAATGGTCCAAATCATGTTTCCCTTTACTTTTATATATACGAGTAATTACTCGAACATTTCATGTGCAAGTTGCACTTGTTAATGGCGTCTTGGGATTAATCAATAGATGGCCAGCTATTTAAAATTTTCAAAAATTTGGACAATTAAGAAATATTCATGAATGAAATATTGTTATATTCATGAATGGAATATTATCTTTTAGGATGATGGACACAACCGTGTAGCAGAAAAGTGGGTTACGAAGGTAAAAACCAGCTGCGAAACTGGTTAAAGGTTGGAACCAGGATTATGACTGTCCTTTTTCAAAGGAGAGCAGAAGATGAGGAAAAAGACATGAGAATGTTAGAATCCTTTTCAGTCAGTCAGATTGATTTTCAAAATTTGCATTTCAGATGATGAGCCAGACAGCAAAAGGCCGAAACTAGCGTCGTGACCTGGGCTAACGGTCCAGAGAGAAAGGGAGCTATATCGAGAGGATGTGTTGTGTGTTCATGCATTTTTAAAAGTGCTTGCTGTACGAATGATATGCTGTTGTTCAAATTTGATGTCTGTCATGTGTTTTAATAGCAAATTTTTAGTGTATTCCATTTCGTATGGTACATTATTTATCTGTTTTGTGATTAATTTGTAGTACAAGTACTACCGTTGCATATTTGTTTTGTTTAGTACATATAGCTAAAGTCCTGATCATTTGTGAGATGATTCACACAGGTTGTTTGTTGATTGCTATGCAGCAATGACTGTTTGTTCATTGTTTTATCAAAGTGATCTGGAATTGTGTTCTCTGCTGATATCTAAATAAAACGAACTGCACATATATATATATATGTTACTTAATTTGTATTATTTTCCCTACTTGTGTGTGGATGAATTGGATACAGCAAGCTCTTGGCTGCTGGTTATATTATACTTATAAAGAAAAATGGGGTGCTTCCTCTCTGCTCCTCTCTTCAAAATTCTATATCTTATTCTATAAACTTTATTTTTCTTTTACATTACATCATATAAGTGGTTAGAGGACGCTACTGGTAGGTCTTACTTTTCTTTCTCTCTGCCGTTTCTGTCTGTTTGTTCTATTCTTTCTGTGCACTAGATGACCATTAGTGTCAAAGTGCTTCTCTTTACTCAAACAAACACTTGGTCATGTTCTAGAACATAAGACTAAGGAAGACACACGAACAGTGAGTATGACATGCCTCCGTGAGTGATGCTACAGAGGACAGAACTTGACCACCCTCTCTTGTGTTGCCGCTATTGTTTTGATTGACATTATTGCTTGAGTGATTGGCAGGTGCTCAGGTGTAGTTTGCTCCTTTTTTCCTATCAAACATCTGTTTTCTTCTTCTTCTTCTATCCCGTGGGTGGGGCAACACTGCATCTGAAAACAAGCTCTCGTCATTTCTCTTTGTCCTCTGCTTTCCTCAGATTGTCACCCATCATCTCCCCTGTCCCCTCTATAATGTTGTCCTCCTATCTCCTTCTCTGCCTTCCTGTCTTTCTCTTTCCTTTTACGGTTCCTTGCAGGATTGTTTTAGCAAGTCCTGTGGATCTTGTGACATGCCCTTACCATATTATTTTTCGTCCCTTCACTGTGGTGAGTAGATCTTCATGCTGCCCCACTGCGTTTGTGATTCTGTTCCTTACCTCGGCATTTGAAATGTGGTCTTTGTATGAGATGTCAAGGAGTCTGCGGTAACATCTCATCTCTGTTGTCTGAATCCTTTTCTCCAATTCTTCTGTCAGTGTCAGTGTCCACGACTCACAGGCGAATAAAAATATTGAGATGACCAGTGAGCGTATCTGTTTTACCAAAAGTAAAATGTGGATTTCTGAAAGTTGACATGTTTATGGTGGATGTTCAACGTTCATCATTTTTTGGGGTTTTTCAAGGGTGCCTTTCAGATATTTATCATTATATTGTAATAATAGTACAAATTTTAATGTACTATATAAATAATTATAGGTAGCATGTGGTTGGTCAGTTCTTTTTTTCTGTCCAGTTTTCAGCCTGATCAAAATGATCAGAAGATTTGTGAAAGTCGTGGATTATTGTGCCCCCCCACCCCCCACCCCCTGCACACAGTCAGTAAACTAAAAGAGGGGAGTGATGGTGTGCATTTGATTCCCTTGTGAGGAAGTTTTTGGTTGCTTTTTGGGTTGTTGTTGGGGTTGTTGTTTTTTTTTGGGGGGGGGGTGTATTTGTAATTTGATGCATATATAGGCCTACATGTGTGGTATCTCCACCAGCTGGAGTGCCGTATCCTACTCAGCTCGGGTGGCCCCTAACAGGCAGGGTCGAAGCAACCAGCGTTCTACTTCTAAATTATAGTTCAAACACTGTTGACTGGGATGCAAAACATTAACAATGCAGTCACCTCCACCTGCGACCCCGCCCCTCTTTCTCTATGTGAATGACCTCACCAGAGACGAAGACGCAAAAGTTCCACGTTGAAATCCTAGTTCTTCTTCACCTAGCGCTCCCTCTATTTTATATTGGTAGCCTACAGGTTACATGTTTGTCTTTCTAAACACCAAAATTGCCTTCTGAATAGTATACGTACATGATGTACTGTGTTAATTAATGTGCCCTTGGTCTCTTTTTTTTTTTAATTTAAAAACGGTAATAAATTCTGCCACAGACAATGAACGAGTTTGGGATGAAGTTGATTAGATCTACATTACATCGTACATGTACGACATGGTGTAGCCTGCTTTTTATATCCATCGAAGTCGAAGTAAAATCGTAGCTGTCATCAAAGATCCTATAAATAGATATTTTCTTATTGGATCTTTGCTGTTCAACGAGATAATCTTGCGTATTTTGTGCAGAGAGCAAGAATTAAGGTTATTTATACAGAAAGATCCATAGCAGAGACTCTTTGGAGGGCGCGGTCCTGGAGCAATGCGTGTTACACGCTGTGTTCATCGTCATCTCGTGGTATAGCTGTCTCCGTGGTTTAATGCACCCGGCATAATTTAGCAAAATTTGATCATTTTTTACTTAATTTCTGATCATTTTCCTTTATCATTCTTTGATAAAATTAACAGAATCGCATACTTTCACATTTTTTGGGCTCGGTTTGCATACTTTCAGAAGTTTTCTTGCATAAAACGACCTGGACAGGTATAGCCGACTCGGCATTTCTAGGACACTGCGTCCTTGGAGACCCCTCCCTTTGCATTAGTACCTGAATGCCGTGGCCGGTGAGCGTACGTGGCCTTTTGTTAACCCCTGGGGATTCCAGAACGGCCAAGTTACTGGTCCGTACGCTTGGTTTATGGCACAGACTGTTTGCGGAAATAATGCTGTGTCATGGAAATGTGTGCCCTCAGAATAGTATGCATTTTGATCTAGGCAGTCATCAAATGTTTTTAAAAAGACAATAGGCAGACAGAGGTTTTATGACCGCCTAGATTTTGATCTATATTATGCGTACGGTACAGTGCGAGTTTTAGGCCAACTTATTGTAGTTGTAGGCCTACATTGTACGGGGGTGGGGGTGGGCGGAGGCTACAAGAACTAATTAAAGATAATAAAACGTTTGTATCATTATATATGTACATGTAATTGATAAAAGACTATTGAATTAATAAACGGCCTAATATTACTAATAATGAAACACATAACTACATGTATTAATAATGATAATTTATTAATTAAATAGGCCTAACAATGATATTATAACAGCTTGTGTTAGGTGTAACTTAATTAGAGGCAGGGTCGTCATGATTTAGTCGAGGCTTAGTCGTTAAAAGAAACTAATAAGTAAATTTCAATATTAGTTCCAGGTTCCAAGTCCAAAGCTTGATTCGGAAAAAGTAGATTATAAATAGGCCCCTATAAATATTAGTCCAACCAGATTCCAAATTCAAAGGACTCGTATATTTCTCCTACTCAACGAGAACAAGCACAAGGGCCGCCAAAACGTGCCATTAGAACATCGACAAACGCGCAAATAATGTTCCTTTTTGTCATTTTTGTGCTCTGCTCATAGTCCAAATGTACACGTATAGGTGACCATATGCTGCTTCTGTTTCACTGCTGATTTAAAACTTTCCTATCAGGCCTTGAATTTAACGCCATATAATGGGCGGTGCCCATTGGCCCATTAACTCTAATCAAGAAATCGTCTGTCTTTTTATAAATTTATTTATCAGAGTTCTTTAATTTTGTAGTTGGTGTTATTTTTGTGTAGGCTCCGCGCCGGAGGTCCAAGCATCGAACGTTTTTACAACTGACTTTGATACAAATCTAATTATAACGGGCATATCTAGGATACTGGTGTATTGGGGCCTTGGGTCTTCTTTAATACTTTGGAGTACATAACACTTTTGCCTTTTCTTTCCGTCCTTTAAATTTGGGAATATTTTATAGCCTTCTCTGTGAAATGAGGGAGGAGTATGGGGGTGGGGCTCTGGACTTGGAAGGCGGCGGGCGGTGACGCCGTACAAAAAAGAAATTTCTCACAAGAGTCAATATCTGGGTCAGCAGATTGTAAACAATAACATTAGCACGGTGGTCGTGGTCTTCAGGTCGTCGTTCCGAGTTCTGAGTCCACCGAGGCACAGATACTGACAGATCGGACAGACTGTGAACTGTTTCTAAAGTCTATTGTGAAGATTACCTGAAGAGAGTGACAAGGTCGGCCTGATATAGACCTTTCAAGGCCACAAGATGACCAGACTTGACCTGATAGTGACCGACATTGGCATACACACGTACTGATAAGAGTCGTGTGGTCAGTTGCCTTGTTTGTGGGCCTGATCGAGTCGCAGGGGCTACTTGCGTTGAGAAGCCAGGGTCGGCAGCAGTGGAAACTAAAGGTTTGTTACAACATGATTCCCCCCCCCCCCCCCCCCCCCCCCACTTAGCAATAGCAGTGACGGTAAAGTTGTTTGTTTGTTTGGGTTGTTTTTTTTATTCTTCAGAATGATTGCAATACGCCCTGCGCTTAGTTAAAATTACTTGCAATGTGCAACTTGTGAACAAAATATTCTTTGAGGCTGAGGTTTAGCGTTAGATTCTCGATTGTTTGGACTAGAGTGTCTAGAGTCCGCGGAAAGTAAAAGTAAAAGCACGAGCTAGGCTAGAGGAGTTGTCTGCTTGAGCTGAGTTAGGCTATCCTAGCCTAGATAAGATTAAAGATAAAATGTAGTTCAGATAGGCCTAGTCTTTTCATATAATTTGATTTAAGATCCACCTCTGGACTGTTTATGAAATGCAATAAAATTCTAAATTCTACTGATTAAGCTAATTTTCTTCTTATGTACGCATAGCTTTATTCTTCTTAATATTCTCTGAAAAGCACCATATATGCTGAATATTATGAGATTCCTTCAGTGATTCAAGGAATCAATGGGTATGCCTACTTGAATGAGTTAAGTGTGCGAAAGAAGGGAAAGAAAAAAAATGGAACAAGAAAGACAGAACCATGTATTGTACATCTAATACAGTCAAACCTCATTGTACTGCCCACCGTTAAACAGCCAGCCCGCTTACCGCCATTTGCCAATGTACAATAAGAAGCACCTATTTAAACATTTAGTTTAGTATTCACGTGTTCACACTGTCATCCGCCATCCAACTGTCTGAGCTGTATGGTCCCTATTTAATTAATGTTAATTTGCCCCGCCATATACCTGGAGCAAACTGACTGCCATGACGCACAACAGCCAGTGGTTGGCTACTTGAGAATCATTCTCTGGCTGCGAAAAAGACAAAATTATATAGAGATAGAGAGAGAAAAAACTCTCAGCTCTGAGAACATGTGCATGTGCACATATATCACCAACAAAAAGACTCTTTTCAAACACATCACACAGCAGAATCATGTCCTTGACGTTGTATGCAGTCAGGGCTATAACAGATGAACCCCATTTAACCACCAGCCCCACGTCTGTTCCTCCAACTTCATACTCATCCCAAGGGTGGCGGTATAATGAGGTTTGACTGATTATTTAAAAGAGCAGAAGAAAGTTCTCTTTCTCTTAGTATAAAATGTAAGCAAGGCGTTTTTGTCTTTTACTGCTGTTTGAAACTGAAAAGATCCAACTTATTAGAGACCTATAGTCCAAGTGGTCACTATCTGGTAAGAACAGACGGACAAATTTGCAGCATACCGGAATTCACTCACAGTTGCAGTATCAATAATGGTTTTGGGACCACTATTCTGGGGAGATTTTTTTTTTTAGAATATTGCTTGTTGGAAAATAAGATACATACACCCCTCAGTATCAGAGTTCTTTAAATTTATTCTTTTGGCGGACAGTAATATATTCGAGGGTTCTCCACCAGAAGTGACCATGCTACGGAGAGTAGTACAGGCTTCTCTAAGCCAGCTCAAAAGGCAGGAGTTCAAAGCTGCTAATTCCCAAAGCAAACTGTGCAGAACTTTATGGGGCAACAGACTGATTCACACCACGTGCTGCCGCAGCAAGGCTGGTTCTGTAAACCCTGCAGGTACAGTGCCATTGACCACGCTGTTGTTATATCTCATCATAGTAAGAGTCCACGTCCAGTCATAGAAATGCTTGTAGGCTACTTTTAGAAATCTTTATCTTTTATTTTAACTTTTTATTCTTGGGATTCGACTTTTTTCAACTACTATTTTCCCACTTGATCATTTTCTGAGCATAAAAGCAGGGGAAAGCTTTTGTGTGCTGTCAATGATCTGTGAGAGCTCACTCTTAGTGCCTGAATAATTATGCATTTCTATTCTCATTGTAGTTGCAAAATGGGACAAAATTATACATTTTTCACTCTTTTTTGTACAGTTAATCAATGAAAGCTTTGCATGTAGAAATATAAAATGAAATGTTGGGTAGGCACAGGCAAGCTGGTCAACCGTATCATTAAAATATTGCATGTTTCAGGGGAAGATACCTTTGCTTTGAATTCATTATCACTTCCTAAAGCACTTGTAAAGAATATTACTGGCTGATTCTCAGCTGTTATTGACATCTTCCTGTTAGAACCTTTGTTGACTGCAGTATACATGCTGTATACAGGTTTCTTTGCCTACCCTTTTTTTCATACTGAAAACTGCTCTATTGTCTCTGGAAAGAAAAAGGATTTCTTTGGAAGGGTTTTGTAAGGAAAGACAAATACAGTAAAAATACAGTGTCTTTGTTCACTTAACCTGTTATGAGTGTATGTTGATAGAATTTTGAGTCTATCCTCCCAGCACTAATGTTTATTCGTTTTTTTACTTTTGCTTGGGGTAATGTCATGGTCACATTAAATTTGTCTAGATTTGGTACCAGTACTCTGAGACATTGTTGCATTTTTCAAAGGATTCTGATGTTTAATTTCAGAGAGTGAAACAGGACATCTGCAAGGTATCAGGAGCAGGGGGTTCTATTTAGAAGACATTGTAAGTGACATTTAAGTTGAGTATTCAAATACAAAGGACAGATGAATACAAAATATGCAGGTCACAAATACAGATTCCAAGGCTTTTCTCAAAATATATAGCCAAATTGAAATTGAAATGACTTTACACATACGAGTAAGACTATCATAATCCTTAGACAACATGACAAGTTAAGGACTAATAATTTTTTTTAATGTAATAGTTTCAAGCATCTTTTATGCCTATCTGTATTTTTAGATCAGTTGATTTTGGAGTTATAAGATAAAGAGAGAAGTAGTGGATGGAATTGTTGTTTACTCTCATGAGTGTTTGTCAGACTAGTTATTTTCTCTGGTGAGCACCTGAGCTGTTGTTATACATGTTGTAAGAGGATGAGGACTGGAAAAAAATTAATTTGTGAACATTTCTTATGTCTTCCTTTGACTGTACTGTCATTTTGGTATGATTTTTTAGCATTTCAAAAATTCAAATTTTAAAGTGTCCGTTGATTCTCTCAGGCAAAGTTAGTAAACCTCTAAAAATACGAAATCCTTAAATTGGACTCTGGTGCCCAAGATTTCTGTGTATGATATAGAGGATAGCTTACCTCCTGCTCCTCTTTCTCTTCCTTTTCTGTAGTTTATACTGATATCGTATTGTGGTTTCTGATTTTTTAATGTTCTTGTAATACTGTTATACTTATTGTATCTTCACATTGTGCATTCCAGTACCAGCATGTCAAGTCTACAGATGTGCAAGACTTACAAATCCAGGAAGATGGTAAACGACTGCAGATCACATGGGATGATGGTCATGTCTCAAGGTTTGTTTTATAAGCAGTCTGTCTAGACAGATTTTTTATAGGCGTATTGTAACTTCAATTTGCTTTTTTTTTTTTTGTTATCAAACTTTGGGGAGATAAGATGCTCATTTTATACTAACACATACCTGTTCTGTGCAAGCTAAGATACTATTTGCCCAAGGATTTCACTTTCTTAAACACTGTAATTTTGCATCCTGAGCAACTCTTGAAGAGAAAACCCTGCTAGAATTCTCAATAAATTTATCCTTCCTCCAACCTTTGGTCATGTTCACATCCCGTGTGACTTGCAAATTGCGATGTGAAAATCTCCAGCTTCTGTTTCTGATACTCACTTACATTCAACATTTTACCAAAGTTCTGCTAATTGTGATGTGAAAATCTCTAGCTTCTGTTTCTGTTACTCACTTACATTCAACATTTTACCAAAGTTCTGTTTGTACAGACTCAAAAATGTTACCTGGTTAACAACCTATAAGCCGGGGGAAAACGTAAAGAGCAGTGTTGTTTGCCCTTGGAACCATGGACAATAACCTTTAGGAACGGACATCTGGAGGCTGTCTTACAGGTCCCCCACCATAGATACTTTCTAATTCTCCTAACCCCTTAGCAGCAGAGAAGATTCATAGGTGCATGCCTATGGGACATTGTTCGATCTTTTTGTGGCCTCATTGTACATTTCTTTTTTTTTTACCGAAGTTTGTACTGAAAATAGACATCTGAAATCTGTTTGCTTAAAAATATATAGCATGTAATACACACCAATCGCCGGATGATCAGTTCTGTAATCCAAACCAATCACCAACTGATCGTTCGACTCGCGACCTTGAAAACACAGGCGGTTTTTTTTTAGGCCGCAAGTTGGGCAATCTGTTTGTGCCATGGTGGTCACTTTGCGCCCCCAATCTGGCCAGCCCCGCCTACCAAACCGAACTGATCATGCCAATGGGCACTGGGTATTAAACATGTCCACTGCTACTGTTATATATGGTCACATGTTAAAACACTTAGTGTTTCATATGCTATCATGCAGTATACAGACTTCATTTTTTGCAGATTTCACAGTATCTGGCTACGACACAACTGTCACTGTGAGGTTTGTTTACCTCACACCTCCACTGTGTTGGTTGACTTCTCCAAGATAGACATTGATCTGCGTATCTCGTCCGCTACAATGGAAGGTTAGCCACTCTGTTTTTGAATCATTGCCCTAAATTGTAGATTTCTCTAACAAAAATGGCATTCCCTTATGTTTTGCAGGAGCAAGCTAGGATATGGAGGAGTAAGAATGCCTATTAATATGCACTGAATAGCTCTCAACATGCAGCCCTAAACTGTACGTCTTTGAACTTTTTTTCTCCTTCGCGACAACCAACTTAGTTGAGTTTGTGACTTTGCTCTTTTTTTTTACGTATTATGATTGCTTGCTGTGTGTGACAGTGGTGGTTGTGTCACGATGTTGTGCTTTATGTCAGGGTCAGAGGTCATTGTCTTGAGCTGGAAGGCTGATTCCGGAGAAGCCTACCACGAAGGTCCAATCCTCACAAAGTTCCTGCGCTACCACTGCTATTCCGATGCTGCTGATAATGCAAGGAGAGCAGCGAGAGCAATGCACTTTCCCAAAGACGTCAGTGGTGTTATTTTTGTACTTTACTTTTTTTGTATATTTCTTCTTTCTTCTTACTGTTTTCCTAATATGTTACCATTGATATCTGCATTGTGTTTTCAATGTTTTATTCGTTTTTTCTAATGTAAGTAAGATTTGTTGTTTTTTTTCTTAAGATATCTGCTCTTTTCTCTGTTCATTGATCATATTTTCTATCCTGATGTCAGACTTACTTTTCTTAAGAATGCTGTCAATCTGATTGTTCTTCTTTTTGTGTGTCATACCAAAGTTGTCAAAGCTATTGTTTAGTTAATGCAGTGCTGAGTTTTGCTACTGTGTTAATACCAGTATTGATGTTATCCCAGTTTCCTTCCTAATACAATCAAACCTGTTCTAACGGCTATCTGAACGAGACAATCACCTGTACAAACTACCACTTCCCATTTTCCCCCTTCGTTTTTTAAAAATATTATAATGACACTGTCCAAGATACCCACCTGTCTAAAACAAACACTTTTATCCTGACAATGGATGGTTGTCTTGGACCATTTCAACTGTAATTTACTTTCTGAACAAATCCCATAATATGTCATCTCTTTTTTTTTTCTCCTAGAAATCAATACCAGAGGTGGACTGTGCTGAGATCATGGAAAGTGATGAAGGGCTTTATAAGTAAGAGCTGTGTCGCTTTTCATTCTTTTAGTGTTGGAAATTCTCCTGACAGGCAACAGAGAGACCAACCTCTTTGGGTTGTGTTCAAGGAGTACTGTATCATACTCCTTGGTTGTGTTCCAAAATGTCACTCTAGCCATAGGGCCCCGAGTATAGTCTCTATTTTTTTGCGGCATGCACCATATCTACCTTCTGTCATGTGTTACTGTTTCCATGTGCTCCTGAATAGTCTTTCTTAACCTTAGATTGTTTCATGTGTTCCTTGAGTGATGTGTTTAAAAAAATTACAAGTTCTCTGTTCGAACCTCCTCCTTCTGACCCGCGTCCCCTTTGAAGTTGCCTTTGACTTCTTTCCTTTTCCTATTTGCCTGATCCCTGCTCTGCCTTTATAATGACCTGTTTGCGGGTGTAAAACGCACAGAAAACCATGTGAATCTTACCTTTTTCCTTTCCCGGGTTTTTGATAAAATGGCACTTGTTCAGGGTTTCTTTTCTTCTCTATTATAAGTTGTGAAACAGGCGTCTGTGATGTAGCTGCTATTCAGCTAGGCTTTTCCCTGTGGCACCCAGAGGCCCCATGTTCGATTCCAGTGTGTGGAATATTTTTGTAGAGAATCTCATTCCTTCTGCTAGACTTTGTATCCATCCTGGCTTGGGCCTCCCTGACAAGCAAGATCAACCCCCCCCCTCCTCAATGGTCAATAGGGGCATAAAAACACCTACATTTGGAAAAAAAATAGAGTTATGATAACATGGGTGACGGTTTTCACTCAAGTAATCATTTGACAGTATAAAGTTCTGGTTTTATTGTGGTGTGTTTTCCTTGTTTTTTTAAATTTATGTTCTCACCAGTAGCCAGAACTCTTTCACTGTGTTAGCTTTGCTACAGGTGATCCCCACAGAAACACATATAAGCCTCCTATGTTCTCTGACATCTTAACTAGATGTTTCTTTTCCGCTCACAGATGGTTGTTGGCCCTGAGCAATTATGGAATCTGCTTGGTGAAAAACACGCCCACCAAAAGAGGAACTATAGCTGAGGTAAATATGTCTTTAATTTCTCTATTAAGTAGCTTAGTTCTGTTACGCAGTTACTCGATTATGGTTGGAATTCATCACATATGACACATAGCTGCCACTTTCCCGCTAAATAGCGGAAACTCTGCTTCTTCTAGCTTTTCCCGCTACTTTCCTCCTTCCTCCGATGGACCGCTCTCGGTCGCAAATTATGATACTTTTTTACACGCGGAAAACACCGAACCAGGAGAGAAACGAAAATGCAGCTTGCGCATGTCCGCCCGTAGCTTTCTACTTCCGTTCTTCTAGGCCTAGCGCTAGTTTCACATTGTTTATTGTTGTGGAGCAACACACTACAGTGTCGATCGGGCATCAGGACGTTGACGCGCCGAGTTGTCATTGAAAACAGAGGAAATTCGAGAGAAATTGATGCTGAATGCAAAAATAAAAGGAGCTGGAATGAGAAAGAAGCTGCCGGTGTGCGACTTGAAAAGTTCATGAAAAAATTGAACAAACCACTTGCTGCACTTTGCGTTTGGTGCGATAAAGAAATCGCGGCCTGCGGCACTACTGTACAATTGCGGTCCCGTTTGTTTACATGACGGCTATTGTGGCTGTTGAAGTGAATCTAGATAGAGATAATCTATCTCTAGATTATAATCTAGATTTACGCATATTTAGATATCTAGATCTAGATTAGATAGCCTAGGCTATTATTTTAAGGCCGGCTCTATTTCTCCCAACGTTCGGGAAAATAAACTTGAACTCTATTTCTCCAAACGGTTTCCGTTCTCGAGATTTGTTGATACAGTTGAGTCCACTTATAACGAGTCCTGAAACAACGAGAAGTCTGTTATTAAGACACTATTCTAAAACCCTGTTTTTCCCCCTTCTTTATCTTTGTAAATAAAATACTGCTACAGCGCAATCGGACAAACACAGGAGTCGGTTATAGCGGAATATTGCTGCTGCTGTGCACAGCGCTCAGGCCTGTTATACATATAAACCTTGCCAGTTGAGAAACTTGTAGATGATCTAGCGAAACCTAGGAGCTTACATCAACTCCCTGAGCAAAACATAGAATAGGAGAGCCCACGTTTGCCAACAATGAAGGCCGGAGCGAATGAGTGGGGAGGGTGTGGTGCGCAGACAAGCAGAACGCATCGTATGATAGGCCAGCCTAGTCTAGATTATCTAGGCCTACCACTACCCATTCCCTCACTTCTCCGATGCGGGAATAGAGACGTTACAATGTTGTGATGGATGGAGTGAATGTGTAGTAACGTGCGCAACAGACGAAACACACCACGGGGTGGGGTGGGGGACAACACAGTGGGGGAGTTAACCCAGAGCGCATTCTTTCTGATCGCCAGCGCCGTGCTGTCAACATCACTAGCGCTAGATAAAGAAACCCGATTCGATTTTTGATCAAGTAAGACCTAGAGGTCATGTTGAACAAGGTCATCATCATGGGAGATAACAAAAAGAAATAAACTTTATAGATTAGGCCTACTTTATTATTTCTATTGAATTTATTACTGGATTCCTTATAACGAGAATCCTGGTATAACGGACATTTCGCACCGGTCCCCTCCCTCTCGTTATAACAGGATTCCACTGTAATAAGCGAATGGAGTGGCCCGTGTGTTTGTGTGTGTGTGTGTGTGTGTGTGTGTGTGTGTGTGTGTGTGTGTGTGTGTGTGTGTGTGTGTGTGTGTGTGTGTGTGTGTGTGTGGGTGTGAGTGTGTGAGCATGTGTGTGTGTGAGTGTGTGTTTGTGTGTGTGTGCATGTGTGTGTGTGTGTGTGTGTGTGTACAGTGTGTGTGTGTGTCTGTGTGAGTGTGTGTAAGGTGGGAACGGGTGGGGGGGGGGGGGGGGGGCGGCGTGGAGGATTTTTTTTTTTTACCTGGAAGATTTTAGTTTTTGCTGGGAGACTAAATGCAAAATAAGTTACCGCCAAGGTCGAGCAGTCTTGTTTTCTCGCAGTACCTTTTTATTTTCAAATGAAGTATAGATCTAGTCCGGGAACGTTGCCCAACCACAACTGAAGTATCTAAATATTCAGACATTTAAAAATCTCTAGCTTTAGAAATTGAATTTGATGCAAAAAATGCTACTTCCCAGTCCTCACAGAATGGCAAAATGAAAGGATGACGCCTAAATCTCGCTTGAAATAACGAGAAAAAAAATCTCGAGATTGGGAACCGTTCGGAGAAATAGAGTTCAACTTTATTTTCCCGAACGTTCGGAGAAATAGTCACTTCGTTATTTTAATTCAGTTTAGACCTGCACACTACAGGGGCACTACTAAGTTAAGTGCAAACGGGATCGCAATTGTACTGGAGTGCTCAGTACAGCGGCAAAGGTGTTGCCTCCTTGATCCCATACTGCGCGCGCTCTACATCGATGTACAAGTTTAAAGTGAAAGAAATCTTTTTATAAGACACCAGCTGGCAGCAAACACTGGATTTTTAGTCACCAAGTCCAAACTGTGTCAAATTGACTCAAACTCAAATGCTTGTTAGTCAACTTAGTGCCTTTGTTGTTGTTGTTTTTGTTTTTTTTCAAATACATTTTAATTCTGTTGCCTATGGTTAACAAATATGACAATTTTCTCTTCCAAAACCATAGGCTAGATTTTTCAGTATATTATATTGCCTCTGGATCTCACTGGTTTTACTCCAGCCTTCGGAGAGAGCGCGTCCGCCTTCGCATGAATTTCCTCCTTTTTTGAAATTCCTGAGTGGCAGCTATGATGACAGGATCTGTTACAGTTTTCTGCTAGATGAATATTATTTGTTCATCTATTTGGTGTCAGAACTTCAGTCATATAATTGAAATGTGTGTGTGCATTTTTGTGTCTGTGTATGTGAAGAAAAAAGAAATGGTTAGGATGTTAAATACATTGCTCTTCTTCTGACTTACTTTCCATTGATGAATGGAACCTGATATGACATGTGACAAATAATGTGTATGTCAGGATAAAAGTAATTATTCTAAGTAAAATTTTACTGGGGGTTTTTTTCATGTTTCGACACAGTTCATCTTTGGAATAAAAAATCATAAACCAATACAAAATAAATGACTGCTGTGGCCGTAGCAGAAACAGTACATACCAAGTCACAGAAAATACAAGATACAATAGATGATGTCAGAGGTGTTGTTGACTTTTTACCTGTCGCTTCTATTTGATTATTGCCGTTTTCTGTTATTTTTTGTTATTACGTAGATTCTGATGGGTATGGATGTGACATCACTATTTTGTTGTTAAAACGGCTTTCGTACATATTTCTTAAGGTGAAAATGTTGACTGAAATTGTGTATATTCATGACACTTTCTCTGAGCTAGCCCTGAAAAAAAAAGGATTAATTATTGCTTCTGAAGAAATTGTTAACTCACTCAAACCTCATAATGAACAAGGCATTTTGGCAAAATAAATCTTCTTGGTTTCTGTGTTGCCTACTATTACCTTAAAGGTGTCTCACCAATGTAGTTTACAAATTGTTAATTCACAATTTTTTATTTTTTTTAAAGAAACAAAACTATTATTACGTCAGATTTATTCCTGATATTCTCTTTCAGGTGGCAGAACGTATTGCCCCCATTCAACACACCATATATGGAGATGTGAGTATCTTGATGCACTGCTCACCTGGGAGCAGAAGTTTGGTAACTGTGAGACTCACTTTTACTAAGTTGAAAATAACTGTCAAGTTATATAAATGAATCTTCAACTTTGATGCACTGCCTACAGAAGACAACTTGCAACGCCACTAGATTTGGAGGGGAAGATGCTATGAAGTCCCATGAGAATCAGTCCTTAGATATTAGCAAAAAGCATCACTGGGGTGTGTTCTTGAACAAAACATTTTAACCCCTACCCAAGGAGTACTGTATAGTACTCCTTGCCCCTACCCTAAGAATGGGCCTCACATAGTTGCCCACTGTTCCGAGCCACCCATATTTTCTTGAAAAATTGCTGTTGTCCCGAAATAAAAACTTGGCAAGCATACTTCTAAAACAGAAAAATTAGGCGTAGCAAAGAGGGGAACCAGATTCCATTGCAATGATGACTCTCGACTAACAGTGACTGGTGACAGCACACACTAGGCCTCCTTGGCCAAGGCCACCACGCCGTACTCGATAGCTAGGTCTACACCTACACACACCTCCACCTTCACCATCGCGCCATGCCTTCACCGCACACATCACTTGCACTAGGCCTAGGCCTAATGAGAGAGCGACTTTACGGAGCGACAGAACATCTTTCCTAGGGGCTAGCAGACGAAAGTTGCAAACCAGTTTCAGACCTGCCAACTTTCGAAAATCTAAAATTGGGAATTTTGAAGAGAGATCGGCTCAAGGGGGAATTAAGAGTGGCCCATGAGTTCAAAGACAGTTATATCACGTCACGAGCATGCAATGACGGTGAATGAGTCAGTAATAATAACAATAATAATAATAATATTAAGATATCTTCCTCTAACTCTCATGGGGTTTACTCACCTATTTACACTTACACTATTATAGTGCAAGGGTTCAGGCCTAGGGCCTGCATGGCTGGCCAGTTTCGCATTCTGACGACATTGACATTATAATTATTTTTTGTTGTGTGTGAATTTCGGGAAATTGATCAAGATTTCTGTTGCTCGGGAAAACGAAAATTTGGGAGATTCCCGAAAAATTCGGGAGAGTTGGCAGGTGTGCAATATTAAGGTATAACGACTATGCGTAAGGTGTCCCTGATGCTTAGTCAATGTCCCTGATTTTGAGCAAGGCTGTCCCTGATACCCACAGAGAGGGGTGGGCAGCTATGCCTCTATGCTGTGGGAAGTGGGAATAGTGTTCCTGTATTTGAACTGATTCCTTATATCGTAGGCTGTGAATGTATTATGTAGGCCTACACTATTGTATCGAAAAAAGAACAAAGAAAAGGAATCTTTTTCTTCTATAGCATGATAGTAACATTGTACTCAGCTGTGAGGTTTTTTTCCCTCAGGTATTTGATGTTGAGTCTGATCCTAAACCAATGAATGCAGCCTACACAGGGATTGCCCTTGACCTTCATATGGATCAGATTCACTACGAGTCTCCACCTGGTCTTCAGCTTCTGCACTGTATCGAGTATGTATATCAGTAAACACTGTTTTGAGTATTTATGAAGAAATATTGTATCTAGTAGGCGTATCTGTATTGAGTATTTATGAAGAAACATGTACAGAGCATGCATATCTATCAACACTGTACACAGTACAGTTGAACTTGCTCTAACAGCCACCTGTTCAGGCCAATGACCACTTCCTATTTCTCGCCCTTGCATTTAATACAGTTGAAGCTGCTGTAATGGCCAACTATGTAAGATAATCACCTGTACAAATGGCCACTTCCCATTTCCCCTTTCTGTTGTTTTTTTCTTACAATATAATGACATTGTATAACATGGTGATTTGACGGTGCACCATATGTGTCATGACGTGGTGGAATCCGGCGCTCGGCAATTTTGGGGCATGTGGAGTTATTGGTATCATCTAAGAGCTTAATTATTTGCCTTACTTTCAATCAAAAAATTTCCCCCTATCTTGAATAGAAGTTAAGATATTTATGGTTCAAGGAGGTGGGGTCACCTGGTTTCAATGATAAAATGAACGAGAAAATGTCCGCCAAACTTTGGTAACTTCAATAGCTTGTGAGTCCCTCAAAACTTAAAAATTACATAATTTGTGCTTTTAATCAACGTTTTCAGTCAAAGCCATCACTGAGGTGCTGAAATGGCACGAATGGAAACCAGCAGATAAGCTAGCCATAGCCCTTGTCCGAGATCGCTTAGCCAGCAGCCGTGAAGAGGACTCCTTCACGAAGTAGATTGTGATAGAGAAGGGAGTACAGCCTGGTGAAGGCAGGAGGAGCAGCCTGCGTGACCCCATAAGACGCTACAACAACCAGCTGATGATGGAGACAATCAGCCTGCCCACACTAAAATGGACCCTTATGAAGAGGGTCAAGGAAGCATGGAGCACCCCGTCTTCCTAAGATCCCAGTTCTGCATTCAAGTATTCAAGAGAAATACGTAATGAAAAATGATTACTGAATTGTTTCAGATGTGGCACTTTAAGTTAAAGAAGAAGGACTTTTTACAAGCATATTTTTTATCTATCATTTATTCATTTACTATGATACCTCCACAGATTTGATGATGTCATCCAAGGTGGGGAAAATTTCTTTGTGGACTTGCATGAAGTGGCTCACAAATTCAAGAAAGAGTACCCGGACTTGTTCTACACACTGACAAGAGTCCCCTCTACAGCTAACACTGTAGATTATAACAGGTCTGACCTAATTTTGCTTAACACCGGGACTATAATAAGTGACCTAGTTTTTCACACACTGGGACCATAACAGATGACCTAGTTTTGCTCACAATGGGACTATAACAGGTGACCTAGTTTTTTTGTATTATAAACTATAACAGGCGACCTAGTTTTGCTCACACTGTAAGTCACAACTGGTCACCTAGTTTTTCTGACAGTGGGACTATAACAGATGAACAACTGACACTTTTGATTATAACGTAACAGGTCACCCAGATCTTTCTGAAATCATGGTCTGTGTTACTGGCACTGTGGAGTTAACAGTCACCTTAGGTTTTCTTACATTGCAGACTGTAATAGGTTACCTTATATGGTAACTGAATAAATTCTTGAACAATCAGGAGATTTTAGTTTTACTAATAGTGTGGACAGTATAGCAGTCTTTCCAGTTTTACTGATGTCATAGAGCTATATAAATTGAAAGAACTACATCAACTAATATTGCTGCCTATAGAATGGTTGGATGAAAAGTCTCCAAAAAAAATAATTACTTTCAACGTTTCAGGCAAAGACCCTTCTTTAACCCACTCATACAAGCACAATCTTAATTAACCCTTTTACGATTTGGAGAGCACCACTGATACTGATAGGTCCTACTTCATTACTTGATTACTTTCCTCTCTGCTGTTTCTATCCTTTCTTTTTCTTAGCACTAAAAGACCATTATTGTGTCGATGTGTTTTTCTTTACTTAAAAAGAAAACAACCAAACATTAGAGGGAAGGAGGACACTGAGGTTATCTCAGTTCTGCAATATTTTGTGTCTGGTTGAAATTGAAAGGCACTGGAATTACCATCTTCTTGTTTCTACTCCAGAGATTTTCCTGCCCACGTGAGGATCCAGAGACCTCTGATCACAGTGAACCACAAAGACGAGGTGAGACCCTTCTGTCCTAGTTTGTTTTGTTTTTTGAGGGGGGGGGGGGTTGTCTCACAACCCTTTTCAGGTTCCATGCTAGTTGGTTCTATTTGTATAAGTCAGTTGTTGACGATGAGAATGTGAGTAAGTAGATAGCCTACAATATTTCAACACTACAATGGAATGATAAGAATGAATAACAATTATTAGATTTATTTGTTAGTATTGACCATTTTGTCCTATTTGTGTGTAACTCAAAGTCTAGCTTACTTGCATAGGTTGTGTAATGGGTAGGATTTTTGCCATTGTATGCAGAAGAAGTGAGTTTGATTCCAGAGTGGGGAAGGTTTCTAGTTTCTGTTAAATTTCTCCATCTATCGGTTAAGATGTTGTACTCAACACAGCCCACATAAACCATGACAGGCCACGTAAAAGCAGCTTGGTCTCCATAATCATCAAAATTGTGTAATTGAGAGCATCGAAAATGTGCTGTAGACTGCAAGCTTGGTCCTTGTGTCAAAATAAAGATTGTTTAGGTTTCTGACTGATGTTTTAATTTACTTTTACTTTACTTTTCAGATCCAGCAGCCATTTAAATTTTAGTTAAAGCCCTTCGACCTGAATGCTTTACAAACAAATTTCAGCAGAATATTCGACAGCAATGTTCTTTCTCTTTGAACATGGTTTTGTTAAAGACATACAACACATTTTAACTGGGTAAGAAGAGATGATTGAGAAAAAGGGAAAGATGTAAATTCTTATTTAGTCCCATTTATGGATATTTTACTTCTTCTGCACAGATTGTCAGTGTATTGTGGCAGCCCATGCTGATTGCTCCTCTCCAAGTGCCTGAGGTAAGCTAGCTCTTTGCCAAGAGTTTTCCAAGCCAGTCAGAACTGATCAATGATGTTATCAGAGAGTAATCTAGCATCTGGAATCGCAGCCACGATTTTTGGCATTTTTTAGTTCGCGAATCGCGGCCGCGATTTTTGCATTTTTCAAAAAGGACAAAACAACAAAGCTACTTCGTAACATATTAGACATATATTTTGATCAGTTTTAAGATGTCCATGTGTATCTGTGGAGAATATAAGTACATTACATTACATACTATTTATATTGTTGTCCATCTTTTATTTTTCCCTCTTTGTTGTGTTTTAATTTGTTGGAGTGTTAATTTTTCTAAAAATTGTTCTGATGATTTGTTTTTCTTTTTTTGCGTTTATACAGCATAATGTCATTTAATTTAATGCTGTTCCTACCCTTTTAAAAATATAAATGTGTTATGTTACTAATGTTAGAGCATGTCTCCACAAAAACCGAATGCTGACACTGGCACGCCCCAATTGTGTGTGATTCCATAATTTACATGCAATATCCTGTAGGCCTACTTTTTCTCAAATTACACACGTTTAGGGTTAAAACAGCCGATCTTCGGATAGGTGGACACGTGCCCTTGTTTGTTAATTTTTGTGGTTATTTATCCGTGCTGTTCTAATTTTGGTTTCATTCTGTTGTGAAATCTAAATTTTTGCATTTTTACCCTGTGGGTGACTACAAATGATATTCTGAATGCTTAAAACAGAGCACAAGAAATTCTGGTGCTTTAGATTGTTACCTCTATCAACATATTGCTATACATACGTCGTCACAGAGAGTTGAAAGCTTGAAAATTAATGGCCACTTTTTGTGGCAACTTTTTGTGGCAACTTTTGGGCAAAAAATGCAGATGCTAGAGTAATGATAGCTTCATCTCCCAGATGGCGAAAGTAAAGTTCTCATAGTTATGTTATGTCTTTATTTTTTTCTTTTAATGGCTTTCATTTCATCACAAGGTATTTCAGGGCTGTCTGTCAATATGAATTTGGTTATAATGTATTTTCTGTTCGATTACCCCAACCTTGCCCCACCCTCTAGGTGTGCAGGGATGAAAACCAATCTGGCCCCCACATTCCACATCACTATGCCATGTGCAGCTGTCTAACTTGATCACCCTCTGTATGAGCCCTTGTTGTCACTTTGCCCTGAGAAAAACATGAGTTGCACCAAAGCCAGGAGTAAGGCAATGATTAGTTGAACAAGTTGTTAAAAAAAAAAATTCCTGTCATTTCGCCTTGTGGATGATGGCCTAGGCCAATAAGAGAATATCGAAATATTTGTTCGAGATTTGAAATAATCAGCTGTGGCACTTGGCATAGTGTGTAATGAAGACAATCAGGATCAAAAGCATCTGTTCATAGAAGCTGCTTTGGAACGGACATTATTTTCATCAGTGGAGATAGAACTTAATATAAGAGTTAATAAAGTGTTGGAATGAGAGTTACTGAACATGTGTGCAATGTTCAAGAGAAGAGAAACTTTTTGTTAGAGAGTTTTGATCACAAATTAGGGAAATGAACTAAAATTATAGCATGTTTTTTTTTTGGGGGGGGGGGGGCTTTTTCATTTATAATAATGAACGTTTGTCTTCTTCCTTTTTTACAGAAAGATGTGGAGCCATTCTACAAAGCATACAAGCAGTTCTATACTATGATCCACTATCATGATGCTATGGTGAGTCAAACATATAAGACACCTTAACACTTTTTTTCTTATGCAACTGTAGTTGACTCTGATCACTCACTTGAAAAAAACAAAACAAAACAAGCTTGCAGTTCTTGCAGATTTATATAACATTGGTCTGTCATTAATAAAAAAAATGTTTTTGGTCAAACCTGGAGTTTTCCACTATTCAATAATGAATACTCTAACATATTGCTGCCTCTTTTCAAGACTGCCCAAGTTCATTGTTAGTGTATGAGCGTATTGGCCAACTGTCAAATTCTTTTTTCTTTTCGTCAGTCTAAAAGGTGCTATGTTGAAGACCCTTGTTACCAGGCGTGGTTCGTCCATAGAGCACGGTCGTGCAGTGCCACCCAAAATTGTTCAATATTCTAATATTACGTAAAACACTCACAATAATAAAATAAAAGAAGCCCGAAACAAACACTAGCCAAATATTATATCAAAACAAAGGTCCTCACTGGCGCCATAACTGTCACTTCTATGTCTATAGCGCCGTAAAACATCTATTATGCCATGCCAAAGTCCACACGCTTTAGCTAAACAAAAGGATATTCAACGCTGTAACCTGACCTATAAATCACTCTTGGGGATAACCCAAGCGATGATGACACTCGTAGCGAGTTTGACGGTACATTAATATTAATAAGCCGGCACATCTCAAATGTGCTCCTGCCGAATAGTGCCGAAACATAACCCACAGTATGCAGTCTAAAAATAAACACGATAGACCGTACGCTATTCTTTGCCAATATTATGTGAGCCCCGGAGCAACCTAGCGGAGTGCTCAAATGAATTGTGATTGGTTCATTGTTTGTTTTGCCACTAGCCTATTTTAAGTGACTCTGTAACCTTGAACCTGAGGGAGGTGAACGTGACCGTCCTATGAGTTGTGCCTTTGAATGGTTTTGTACTGGAGTAGTGAAAGTTATTACATACTTGAGTGTTCAGTTCCAATACAGGATGAACGAAATTTATGTTTAGCTAACAAACAAATGTACTAGAAATCAAAGTGACAAGTAAAAAGAATGAAAATAAAAGCATGAGGCCCTCCCTCACCAACCCAAAGATCCTACAATAATACACCGTCTCATTTACTAAGCCCTTGACTATCTTCAGCATGCGATAGCTTAATTATTATTGTGCACGCCCACTTTTTAGCCCCCCAAGCCGCCCCTGCTTGTTACCAAATATATATGTATATTTATATTATATTATACATATTTATATATATTTATATTACAGTACACAAACCGACTGAGACCAGGGGACATGATCTCACTGAACAATAGGAGGGTCATTCATGGCAGGAAAGGATTCACAGAAAATGGACGGCGATTACTTCAGGTGAGACTTGTATGTGACACTTGTGAGTCACATGATCCAAGACAGGACAGCTAATGATGGTTTGCCATTCATTTCTCTGTTCACATGCCTTTGAAAAAAACCTTCATTACCCTTATGTTTTCATTACCATCTATAGTCGGGCCCAGATAACTCAGACACGTTGGACCCCTCCGGGGCGGTGCCACTGACTGAAGTGTCTTTAGGGTATTCCCAAAGGGGGGACATTTCTCGTTCATGCACAGTAGAGTTGTAAATGGGCTAATTCATCACAGTCACGCTCATAACTGTGCCTGATCTACAACAGGGAACTGCTGCTTTTTCTTTCCTAATCCTTACTATAGTCATTTCCTCTACTTCTTTTGTATGTTTGTCACACTCTTGTGACCCGCTATTTCCGGGGTGCCTTGATAGTCCAAGTAGACTTTGTGCTGTTGAAGCTAGAGAGGTGAGCAGAGTAAGTCTGATTCCCTGTAAGGACTTCTATGTTGACATCCACCCCTTGGCGCTCATATGACCTTATGCAGTTGCGAGCGCCGTAAAACCTCTACTAAAACTAAAATGACATGTTGGGGAGTGGTGTTCAACACATCTATAATTTGAGTTAACATATATCGAAAAATCAAAGAGATATCAGTTGGGGGAATGCCAAATCGTACAAACTATCTGTGACTTTTGAGTTTTCTGTGTTCTTTTTATCTGTGCTCAACTGTATATATAAAGGCATACATTAAAATTTTTTTTTCTGCCCTAGGGATGCTACATCAACATCTCCGAGTTCCAGAGCAAAGTGCAGATCTTCCACAACAAGTATGGCGGGGGTCGATGGCCCACCAGATGTGGCAGCATGGACTGGCAGTGAGAGAGACAAGGGTTGTGCAACTGGCGAGTGCTCAGTACAACGACACTCACACAAAGCTTTATCAAATTTGCTTGATTGTATCACAATGATAGGTATAGTAATATACGCACTTCTGCCTTCATGCCTTATTGAGCAGTGTTTGCTTCAAGGTAAAAATGCAATCTACATCAACGAACATTCATCAAAAGCATAGTTAGTGTTTGGAAAATAGGCACTTGCAGTCTAGCCTATTGCTTGTTGGTTTTTTTTACGTCATTGATATTGTAACTGTGAGTTCATTTTTGGCAGTAATGACATGTTTATAAAGTTAATTCTGTGTGAGCCCGATTTCGGACATATCTCAGGGATATTAAAGTCAGTTCATTCATGGACCTGGTACCAAATGTAGTGATGAAATCTTCTCAGTGGCTAGTCATTTAATAAATGGTTGTGCTAAGTAATGTGTATTAAATAATTAATCAGAAAGTCTACCCTGGATGTAAAAACAGTCTTATGTTATTGCCGTATAAATATGTTCAAAATTAATTTTTCATTTCTTTCATTTGTGATTAATGCTAAATTTGGTAGATAATATGTTTGATTTTTTCTTTTTTTAAAGATTGTGAAACATAGTGTGATTATGCTTTTTATGAGTGTGAGAAAAGTTAAATGAAACATTATATTTATCTACGCCTCTATGTATACTCAATTTTCTTATTTGTTTTTTTTTTAAAACGTTTTTCACTTCTTTAAAAAGTTTGTCGGATCTCCTTGTCATCAAATTTACAGTGCTTTTTTGTCAGCCACACCCAAATCCATCTGTGTCGACATCATCTCTCAGACACAATGCAATATGACTCTAGGCAACCGTTGTTCTTTCTATGATTTGGGAGCCCATTTTTTCTGGATATTTCCAGAAATCTAAAACCTCCCCAAACTGGTTTAAATAGAAATGTAAACATGGCCTGTTTGACTCAGAGCTAGAGCTACTCGGCTAGATGGAACCCCTGTGTGAATACTATTTATGCTGTTACTGTTACAAATGTTGCTATTGTTACAATTTCACCTAAATGATTGAGCACTTTTTTACACAATATTCCTGAATTGTTTAATGGTGACAAGCAATTCTCAAATCAGGTTTCCTTTTGTACCCGCCATTGAAGGGCACCTGTTGTTCTGTGAACAATAAATACTTCCAATGATGGGGAACAACTTGTGACTCTGTTCTTACATTCTGTATTTTGTTCCTTGTTCTGGTTTATAAAAAAAACAGCAAAATTAACAATCAGGTTTTAAGGACATCTATTGCAACAAAAATGAAAGGCATAAAAAAAAACAAAGAAGCAAAACTGTTTTCACATCATTGACAGTTTCACTAAAATTCCAGCTCTTCGACTAAGTAAGAGGCCAGGCAAACCAGAACAAAGAATTCATGTTTCTTCAAAAACATTGCACATAGGCTACCTTCACCAAGACAAAAAGTAAATCAGTACAAAATGAGTATGTGTTGTTTGAGTTTGGTCAAGTAAAGAGAACTACATAGACACAAAAATGGTCATCTAGTGCTGAGGAAAATTGGGACAGACAAAAACAATGAAGGGATAGAAAAGAAGAAGGACTTACCAGTGGTGCCCTCCAACTACAGTTGACTATTGTATGTCTGGGTGTAAAGGGTAAGAAAAGGAAACCATATTTTAGTTGTACAGCACATAGAGCATGCTGTGGAGCATGGATATATGTGCTATATAACTGAAACTATAATTATTATTAAAAATCTGGGAAGTAGCTCACTCCACCGAAGGTAAAATACACAGTGCATTTCATAGAAGAGATGTGACTGACCCAGAATGAAAAAGTTGCAATGATGGCCGCAGAAGGGCACAGATAATGACAGGACAGGAATGAACTTGCATAGTTAGCACAACAGAGGAAGTACATTGTTTTTACACAACAGAAGTGCCCTCCTCAATACTTTTCTCATTACCCACTTTAACCAACAACATATTCTCTTGTCACATCAATTATATTTAGGTCTCACTGCAGACTTCTCATCACAGACTGCAATACCTTCGGACAGCCATGACAATTCAGTAACAACTTTCTTTCGACAGACTCGTTCAAAATTATACGTTTTCAAAAGTGACATAAGAAAATGACAATGTTGAAGGCAATAGACAATAATCTTACTACTAATTGAGCTAAGGCCAAATTTTGCGAACAGTATATTCTCAAAAACTACAGAATGCAAAAATATGAAACTTTGCCAGTACCCATAATTTGAAGCGTAGTGTTGCACTATTGTATTTTCATTAAGATCAAATGTGTAAGAAGAAAGCCCAGTTTAAGTTAAATTCAGTCCTTTTGTAGCGATCGCCATCATTTGCTTTGACATTGTATATTCATTGCGGAGTGCCAACTGCGCCGAAGGGTATTTTGTGTTCAGTTGTACATAAGGTAGGTTTACGGGAATTCCCGGTTTCAGTCTCACGCCTTTAGGAGGAGGAGGAAGAGGACGAGGAGGAGGTGTAGGTGTAGATGGAGGAGGAGGAGAAATGAAGAAGAAGGAGAAGGAGGAGGAGGGGGGAGGAGAAGGAGGAGGCAGAGAAGAAGAACAAGAAGAAGCAGGAGGAGCAGGAGGAATTAGAGGAGGAGGAGGGGGAGAACAATAAGAAGGAGAAGAAGAATCAAGTAGTAATACATGTTACAAAGTGGTGACTTTTTCGTTTATTACCCTACCTTGGGAGAGAGAGGGGGGTAGAGAGAGAGAAAGAGAGAGAGAGAGAGATGGGGGGGGGGGAGGCCAGAAAGCACTAACAGAGGGAAGGTGGTGAGAGTGACAGGGAAGGTGTCGTCGAAAGCGCAAAGAGTAGTCTAGCCTACTGTAGGCCTACTTAATGTATCGAGATAAATCGAGATCAAGAAGAATCACGAAACGAAAGTAGAATCTAGATCTGTGATATTTCAATAACCTATTGAAGATTGAAAGTGGATTTTTCTTGCTGAGCATTATAGATTCTAAGATCTAGATCTAGGCCAGATCAAAGTGAATCTTAGATTGAGATCAAGAATGATGAAAGTATTGAACGTGGATTTATTCCTGCTGTGAATAGATCTAGAGTCTAGAACTAGGAAGTAGGTGAATCTAGATCGAGATCAAGAACCCTGAAAGTATTCTTGAGAGTGGATTTTTTCCTACTGTGAATAGACCTAGAAATCCAGGCCATCTGTGACGCCTGTCGGTTGTTAAAAATGTGAATTTCTAAACTTGGATCTATCTATGGGCCAAGGCTCCTTCTTTCAATTATTGGCCTATGTCTTTATAATCCTTTGAGATCAAAGCTCGATCTAGAATCTAGATTAGGTTCTTCTAGGAAGCAACAATTGGCATGTAGGCCTCTTTTTTTTAAAAGTGATTGAGCTGGAACTTTAGGAGAAAATGCCACGCCTTCGAAGAGGGAGAAGAAGTCTTACCCCTAGAGGTAGGCAAGATGGGTTGCTACATGGATAAATTCAAGGTAAAATATTTGTTTTGTTTCTTTCCTGTTTTTCCTCTTCTTAACTTTCCTAATAATTCTTCATTATTTTTCCGTTCGTAGAACAGGTACTTTTATTACTAGTAATAATAAAAACAAAAATAATTATTTTTTTTAAAATACATATGTAATCATATAATAATATTAATACATTATACTCTCATCATTATACTGCTACCAGCACATTCTGGCACTCACAGTCACAACTTCTGACCCTGAGACCGCTGCATGCCACACAGGACACAGGAGGCATCAGGCAGAGAGCGGTGCACGCTCGCACTTTTGCCGCTCTGCCCTCATAGACTGCTCACAGTGAGGCACACAGGGTCAGGAGGGCTCACGAGAGGGTCATCTGCCCCTACATGCCATCAATAATAACAAAAGAACTGCTGTACGAGCACAACCAACCATTATGCAAGGTCACTGACCTAAAAACGACGGCTTAGTGTTAGACTCAGCCGTAGGTCATTTTGTAAAGTGATGAATGATTGGGTTTATCAATGAGCTGTCGAAAAGATGATATATTTATATGATAGAGTAGTAAAACGGCGATATGTCAGATCTGGATGTTCAAATGGTGATGCATAATGACAAGAAACAGCAAAATAATATAATAACGTAGTACTGAAATGGTGGTACACGATAACATAATATTAAATTGTGATATGCAATGGCATAATAAAATAATGATACTTAGTTATACACAGTTTAAAAGGCAATGTGTAAAGATCTTGGATAGATAAAAATTATGAATACTTCCGGGCAGCCAAAATGCATGAAACATTTTGCATAATATATATAATAATAATATAAATGTAGGCTTTAAATACCAATCTGATAACACAATGAGATTAATGCTGCTGCACCATAGCCCAACCCCACCTGCACCTCCCATCATGTAATGCACTGTAGGGATCCTTCCTTGACTGTCAGAAGTATACCCTGACAGTACAGGCATCCTGATGTAAATCCAAAGCCCAATCTTCCCTTGTTGCTAAATTCAAAAGCCAAGACAACAACTTAAATGAGAATTGTTTCCACTGCTTTCTCAGAAACCAGCACATTTTCGACGACATTTTAGGTCAAGATGGCCAGGCACCATTCCAACTTTTCCATCATCAATGAAAAACGGACAGTTCTCATGCAAGCCTTTGAGGTTCGGCCTCAAATCGATCCTTTGGGCCATAGACAAGAAAATAAAAGATAGTAACCTTTCCTTTGATATGTTACTAGATCTATGTATGGTTGGTGAATTCTTAAGTTCATACATTAATTGGAAAACACTGAAAACTTTCTGCTGCAGTCCGCCTTTACCGTACCATTCAGTATTCTCATCACAGCTATTCTGTCAATGAGGACAACGAGGAAAAGCATTGAAACACTAACCAGTCAATTAACTCCTCTACATTATCTCATTGTTCAACAGGTCACCAATCCTAACAAAGTCTCCCTACACTTTCAAAAAAATATCAATCTGGCAGTAAATTGAGTAAAATGAAAAGGAATCAAAAAGTGAACAGAGGGATGAAAATGCAAAACAAAAAAGCTTCAACTTTTCACTTGCAATACAGTAGTCTCAGCCTAAGATTCCACTGCTTACGATCCCGGTTCGCTTAAGATCCCGCTGTTTTAAGAAAACAGAATTTATACAATACAAAAGTCACCCCTAAGATCCCGCTCTGATTCACTCTGAAGGTCTACGTTCGGCTAAGATCCCGCATTTCAGATCATAATGTGCGGAACAAAAACCCGAGCGGGCACAGCTGATAAACCAAGAGTGAAAAGTTGAGATCAATAAACTGTCCGTCGCCTCAAAGATCAGCCACTATCATGAATGTGATCACACACACGTAAAACTCGATGAAGCGATACAATGTTTGCCCCAGACGAGATCACACCAGGGTGTGAACTGACCGACATGTTTGTTTTCCCCACACATCGCACTCACACCTGAGCTCTCCCCCTAAACTTACATCACTCGCTGGGTGGGTAGGACCTACATGTTCGCTCCAGGCGGGATCACATTGAACTGTGAACTCTTCCCTGACCATTGCAGCAGTTGTCTCTATACTCCCATATTTACGAGACGGACTGAATTTTAATTGATGTGTTCACAACGTAATGGAGTGTAACGACAAAGGCAGGGGGAGGGGGGGAGGGGGGAACTCCGTCAGAGATGGAAAGCTATAAATTATCGACAGGTAAAGGGGAGGGGCAACTGGATAAGCGTAGATCTTGAGACTCATGAGAGGATAATAAGTGAAAATGGCACGCCTCATGCCACTATGCACTGTGATAGGTCATCAAGGTTAACCACTCTTTGCTCGCCATATGTCATAAACCCACCAAGGGGTCACGTCAGTTCATTTTAGAGTGGAGGAGGACCCTTTTACCAATTGTAAGCCTTAACATGGGTCACCATAGATTCTTCTCTAGGTTTGTAGGTTAAGATCCCGGTTCGCCTAAGACCCCGAATTTCCTTGCTCCCGAGCACCGGGATCTTAGGCGGAGACTACTGTACTGCTTAACGACCTATTACACAACCACACTTTAAACATTTCGGATACATCATCAAACGACAGAAATTATTGCTTAGATGGTGTGCCACAGTGGCAGGAAATTTTATGGACTATTCCATTCTGGAGTTTGGCAATTGTGATTGGATTTTTTATGAAAAAAAGGAACAGGCTTTGAAAATTAACAGATATTAAGTACGACTTTCAATCAGCTTTGAAAATTTTACTTATGCGATGCGAGATGGACGCATAAACTAAAAGGAACATCACATTAAAGTCACGATCTGCAATAGCTTTCATTAAAAATCCATGACACGCAAAATTCACAGCTGTTACCCTAAGAGAAAATGCATGACAAAGTGTGCAACCATAATATTTGGTCCAGAATAAGAACACCTGAACAGACAGGAGTTACAAAAGAAAAAAATCTTCATAATCGACTCAGTTTGCTAGCATTAGCTTATGGGAGGCAAACAGTTTTTATGGAGGTCAAAAGGCACACAGAATCATTTCATTTGTCAGGAAATATAACACTCGATGGCACATAAAAAGATGGAATCATTTATGAGAAGTGGCTGCAACAAAAAAATTAATAAACTGTTTGCCACATCAACTGTGTTAACCTTCATTTCACTCAGAAGTTTCTACAGCTGAAACATAAGTAGCAACCTCCTTTGTCCAAAAAACTTCTAAATCCATTCTTCATGGAGAACGACTCTTCAGGACAATTGCTCCCACTCAAAATTTTTAGGGTTTTGTTTTTTTAACTGCGCAGTAACATAAAAAACATTCTTGTTTCTTTAAAAGAACAAAAGATCAGATCTTGTTACTCAAAGCAATTTAGATCATAATAAGACACGGGACCAATATCACACAAAAATTAAAAGTAAATGACCACTATACTGGAGTCCATTCCAAAAGTCCATGAAAAACATCACGTTGAATAAAAGGCAAATGAAAAGGTAAAAATGTGTGATCAATGTCTCACAACAACAAGTACTACATTTTATATCCGGTGTATACGTTAGGAACCAGGGAAGAGATGTAAAAAGTGCTGAAAGTGTAAAAAGCCTAGCTTGGATGAGAAAACAACAATTAGAGATCGACACCTCAGTCAGATCGTTTAACTTGAACACAAAGTTTTGATATAAAAACGGATACTTATTTCCTCACATAATAAGAGAACTACACATACAAAGACTATGCCGAACAATCCAACCAGAAAAGGAGGAGAAGCTCCTTGTTGCACAACTGTTTCATAACATCAACTGCAGATCAAGACCAAACCTCTCGCATTTAGAACCCTGTGGTACATGAAACAGAAAACAGAACTCATCTTGGCAAGTGGAAATTATCAGTCCCCAGAACATTATCCAAAAAAGAAACATTAGAAAACACAGAATAATGAAGCAGCATCTCTCATACTGGAGCTTCAAATGCAGTTTAGTAAGGAGTTGAGTAACTCTATTATAGTATAATATTATTTATGGTTAACTGTAGAAAATCAAACAGATCTTCAAGTTCATACATTTTTATAGTCTTATGATCAATTTACTGTAAAATTTCATTAATAAATAGAATACAAAAAGAGCAATGATTTCTTTAAAAAAACAAAATACGAACCAAGAATTCAGATCACATTCAATATTTTAAAATCCCAAAAGACAGATTATCTCAGCATAAAATTCAGACATTAAAAATACTTCATAATTACACAAATTTAATTCAAACACTGAATGTTAAAAATCATGCAATCACAATGCAGCTTTAGAATGTGAAATTTCTTTGGGATAGACCATTAACATATTTTTTTCTTCTTAAGAAACCCAAACATAAACACCAACAAAAGTCATACGGAAATTATTTAAAATTATTGACAAAAAAGCATTCAAGGCAAACAGACACAATAAATAGAGCGTAAGTTAAAGACAGCAGCCACAGTATTTCTGCCACAGAAATATTCCACCAAGATTTGACTAACAAGTAGAGCATCGTAAAATGTACAGGACATAAATAACATTGAGTCCCATGGTGTCCACATACAAAATTGAAAAATGTGTTTAAAAACAATGTTGGAAAATAATCAAAAACATTGATGTGAAATCTATACCACATTTTGTTCTGTCTGGATACCACATTCTACGGGGGTATTGTAGAATTCCTTTAAGTTATTGTTCTCAGACCTTAAATTATACAATTCAGCCAAACAGTTGGGCCTCAAAACTAGTAGTCTTAAATAAAAAGAAATACTTTGTGAAAATTTTGAAGTTTTGTACCACATTCATCAAACTAAATCATACACCATCTGACAAGAATTTCAAAACTACTTAGGGAGTCAAAAGGGATATTGTTCCCCCCAGAATAACTCACTACACCATTACACACGAAAAGACTTCATAAGGATCTCATCAAATTAAAGAGATTTGTTTCACAATTCAACAATAAAAGATTCAACCTGTAAAATCTCATATATAACATTTATCTGCTCCTTTATTACAGGCCCAATTATGATTTCCTCACGTCTAAGGGAAGAGAGACAAAGAACTTATTATTGACTTCAGAAAGCAGAAATTCCAGTGGTAGTCAGTGTCTTAACGGCTGCAAAATTTGAAGTTGTTCACACTAGCGTGAATGTTCCACAGTTAAGACATATGGAAAAAGAGCATCAGCCCAGCCCCCCCTCCCCCCCCCCCCCCCCCCCCATGCACGTAAGAGAATAACAATTAATATTTCCATTTACTGTGAACATTAAAAACATTTGATAATGTCTTCTCTTCCATTGCACAATTCAGTAGACAAGACTTCAGAGTTAAACAGCCATAAAAGAATTAAATACCATCATAATCTTCCACAACCAAAACTTTCTCACTCATGCAAAAGCACACAGACAATCCAAAACACTTCCATGACTGCTCTGAAAAACTGAGACCTTACTTTGTTGGAGGTTCTCAGAGTAACACAATAAATTCGCAGATAATAATTATCATAAAGCTGCCTTCTTTTTTTCTTCCACCCAGGGAAACTAGAATTATGATGCTGTCTCCTCAGCCACACGGATTCCTTCCTTCAGGAACTGGAGATAATTATGTTCAGATGGATCTGACAAGCTGAGGAAAACAATATATCAGGTTGACCCAGGAAGCAGATAACATGTTTCAATTATGAGGAAAACAAGCTGTACAGCAACAGTTCTTTGGCATATTTTCTTTTGTGTGTTTGCTTACAAAGAAAATAAAAGTATTTCGTTTTCCTTTGTAGTAGATAACTGCACAATATTTTGTATTAGATACATTAATATAAGAAAAGGCACTTACAAAAATATAAGAAAAGTACATACAAAAATATAAGCAAAAGTAAACAGAAAGAAAACAAAAGAGAACGAAAGAAGAAATATCCGTATAACGATTGCCTTTTCAATCTTAAAAATGTGTTGACAGTGACAATTTTTTTCTTCTCTTTTTTATCAATGACTGTTTACATCTTAATGCAAGACCTACAGAAAGAAACAGGAGAGGGAAAGAAAAGATACAGGACCAACTGGTCATGCTTTCCAACCATCCACCAACAAAGTGTGAAATTGTCTCACAGATAACTCACCCGTGTTCCATAAGGCTGTGCTCCATGTCCAGGAGTGTGTTAGCATTGAGCTGGTGAACAACCTCACCATTACCGCGCGCCACCAACATCGTCACAGGGAATTCATAAATGTCGAGAAATGATTGAGCAATGAATGAGAATGGGAGGCTGGTGTCTGCCGCATGCGCCTGGAGAAAAGAATACAGAGCTGCTTTAGTCAAGTAGTCAAGCCTTGACCTACCATCTAACATAAAAGGTAAAGATATTCTTAATTGAAGTGAAAAAGATACAGGTGTGAACCATATTTCATAATTTCTATTTTGACTTTTGAACTGTTAAAAAGTTACACATAAATTAAACATCAAAGGGGATTTCCCTTAACATTTACCAATAAAACTGGCACCTGAGCTTGTGAATATAATAAAGGTAAACCTATCTCTTCAATAATATGTGAAACAGAACACTGCATGAACCATCAAACAACAAAACTTGAGAAAGAAACATTTTTAGAGCAATGGACACAAATTCTGTTGTTTTTTTTATGACTACGAATGGTTGTAACTTTGTCCACACATCCAGAGAAATAAAAACCTAGAAGTAAGTGAGGCACAGAAGAAGAATCTGAGACACTCCAGCTGGGATGTTAATAAATAGAGCCAGACCTCTACACCAAAAATTACACATTAGCTGATGAATGTGTACGAGTGGTAAGCCAACACAAATTTCTAAATCATCCATGTACAGTATTGCTTTGTTTTAAAGCTCAGTCAACTTAACCACAACAAACAGGCATCTGTGATGTAATAGTTCAGCTCTTCACCGCATGCAGAAAATATAAGTACCATTTTCCCCTTTTTTCTTCGTTAGTTATTTACATGTGTCTGCTTAGACGCTGTATCCCCTTCAACCCTAGTTTGCCATGACAAGCAGGCCTAAACAGCATTTCTCTTGATTTATCTAATTTGTGTCACTAGAGGAATAAAACCTTTATAATAAAATAATGCCCAATGAAATACTACTACAATATCATTCTCACAGAGCAGAAGTGTCAAACTCAATCTCTCAAAAAGCCAAACTCAAATTACATTTTAAAGTTGCAGAGCCGAGCTGGACAAACACCCTTTGAGCAGTGGGAAAACTATAAACTTCTTTAAACAATAGCATGAATTGAAGCAGACAAAAGTTAAAATACAGTCAAACCTGCCCTGACGGCCACCTCTATAAGACGGCCACCTGTACAAACGGCCACTTTCCATTTCCCCCCTTGCGTTTTTTAAATATAATTTAACTGTGTAAAACAGGCACCTGTCCAAAGCGGCCGCGGCCACCATATTTTAACACACAACCCCTATCACACTAGGCAATAACACCTGTCTTAGACGGCCACCTTAGTGACCCCATTACGTTTCGTCATAAAATATTGCCGTCATAATCCAATCCCTTGTCGTTGTTTGTTAGATAGTCCCTCCAATCGATCATATTGCGTAGGCCCCTCCCACTGTTGACCAATAGGTACCAATTTTCAGCTGCTGGTGAGGTAAGCATGTGATCCCTCATAACCCATAAGCCCCGCCCAAAACTAATACACAAATCGTACGTGAGATGAGTGGTCACTGTTTACCCAGTCTGTAACAAAGTAACAATGGACGTCAACATGAACTTGTGACAGAAGCGTCACTCGTTCTCCGAGTGGTGGCGACCCATGACACTCAGTCTTCCTCGTCTGATACATTTCGTTTTATTGTCACTCTTGCACAAAATCAGCAACAAAATAAAAATAAACAAAATACAAACCAACAACAACAAAAACAAGAACAATGCGGCTACTTTCGATTGGGACTTCAAATGGGAATAGTTTGTTTTCTTCATTTTGATCAGTCCTGCCTAAGACGGCCACCTGCCTTATACAGCCACTTTTCTCCTTGAAAATGGGTGGCCGTCTTACACAGGTTTGACTGTAGTAACAAATAAAGGCATACAGTTTTCACTCTTATGTCATTTCCTTAGAGCTTGGCAACAAGCTCATTTATGTTGGGAGTAAGGTTCTGTGTTATGGAGATTCTCAAGATGGACTATCTAAAATTCTCTCGGGGACCAGATACAATTGTTCGTGGAGATGGAAGTAGTCAGGGGGCTTTGAGTTTGACACCTGTGTCGTAGAGAAATGAAATCATAAAGGACATGTAACTTTCCAGCTGACCTTCAAGTCAACCAGGAGAGTCCAGGAGCTGACGAAGCGCTGATGCAGTAGAGCCATGACCTTTGGACCCTGGAGAGCAGACTCCCTCAAGGTCCGGGCTGACCCTCAGCAGCTCTGGTCGTCCAGCGCTCCCCACAGGACGATGCAGTGGACAAGCTTGGACTCTGCCTGGGCCACCGTGAATGCCTCCGAGAGGTTGTGATACTTCACCTGTGCAAAAGAAGCAAACGTTGCAGACTCAATTTGACCCAGTCACTCCAGAGTTGGTTGGGGTTCTTTCCTTCTTCTTTTTTTTTTGTCGAGGGACTGGGAGAAGGAGGGGGGGCGGGGGCAGACACAGATGGACAGACATTTAGTCCCATGCCAGTGGTCCGAGAGTGCTACCTACAGTTTATATATGTATCTTTTCTATTCTCCTTCTGTCTTTCTTCATTGGTTCAACTTTTCTATTAACCAAAATATCACTCCTTTGTTAATGTGCTTCTCTGCAACTTGATCAAAACATATTTAATGTGTCAGTGCCTTTCGAATAAAACCGCCAAGGAAAGAATGCACAGATCAAACAATTAAATGTAATATAACCACACAGAGACCAAGAACAGTTCACCTGTTTAAACGGGAACAGCTTCAGTTCCAGGGCGTCCCTCGCCTCTTGTTCTGAGATCTCCTGCTCCCATGCGATGTCATCCCAGGAGAACTCCTTGATAGAGAATAGTTCTATAATGCACAATTGTGACAACCAGATGATGATGTACTATGAGAACAAAAAAATCAACAGAGGATGGAAATAGAAATCAGAAAGAGAGAATGGAAGCGAATTGGACATACCTTAAGAAAAAAAAACCAAAAAAAAAAAACCCAAAATACCCACTAAGCCTTTAGATGGAATCCACAAGGAAAGAAAAAGAAAGGGACTTATAAAAGAACCCGGAGAGACTTAGACTCAGGCCTATAGGAGATAGGATGCAGATGGTCAGAGGGGGAGGCAACAGCCCATGCCAAAAGTACATGGTCTCTTGTAGGTCGCCTTTACTCTGACACAGGGTAAGAAAAGCTGATGATGAGTAGGTGATGATGAGAACTCCGAGAAAATTGCAGACCACAGATAAAGATAACAGGTACCTGATATATAAGTCATAAGCAGATCGATATGTCTGCTGGTCTTCTTCCTCAATAAATGTATTCCTATTTTTTTTAATTTGGTACAACAGATGGAAAAGACAAAGGATGTAAAGAAAAACTGGTTTATGAATTTTCTATTCCTATTATCTATGCAACTGTGGCCATTTCATCCCACGCTTACAGAGTGGAAAGGCATTGATATCACTCTAGACAGGCAAAAAAAACATAAACAAAATATCCAGAAACATGGACAAATCAGTAAAAGTAAAGAATTACAAACCCCCCATTTAGAGTTTGCTTATCATGATGATCACAGCTCACTGATTCTGTTTCACAAAGACAAAGCTGTAATCCTACTGTGACTACCATTAGGACAACAGATGTGGTGCCATACGTCCAGCAGTTCTTAACACATTACACCCAAAGGGCCTGGACGGGAAGTCCATTGTTAGATCCTAAGCAAGGGGAAAGAACCCACCCCCCGTGAATATAAGCGTTTAAAAAACACATTTTAAAAATACTAAACAAATCCCAAAAATCCTGAAAAAATAAAAGTTATAAAGAAAACTGAATGTAGTTTCAGAAAAATATAACTTTATGTATACGCAAATTGTTGGAAATGTTCTAACTTTAATTCAATCGGGGTGTCCGACCCGTCACTCTCACTCTCAGCCTTGCGGTCGGGCCCTAGATCTAAATTCTAGATTTTCTACGTCTGATCAATCTGAATCGCCCCAAACTCTTGCTACAACGTTTTCATCAAAATCTGAGCTATCTGATTTGTCACATGCTTGTTTTTGCTCAAATCCATCGCTACTTCCGTTTTCAAACTCAATTGTGTCGCTTTTCAACAAGTCGAGACACTTTCAAAGTGCTGGTAACGCGATCGCACTTCGATCAGCTGTAATACTAAAACTACTAGCCCAAAAAATTTCGTTTCCGTATCAAACGAAAGAAGAAACTTTTTGCTATGACTATGCAAATCAAAATTTTGGCCCCAGAGTCTCGTCAAGACGAGACTTCGTTTCTAAAGACGCTAGGTCGGCGCGGGCGGTTCCGGGCGAGTCAGGGTGGAGCGCGTAAGGGAATTCTCGGGCGATCCGCGGCGAGTTAGGGTGTAATGTGTTTATCAACAAACCTCAACTTGTTGGGCCTCCTCCATGTAGGCTTTTGGCCTGGAGGGTCCCGCACTGCTCAGCTCCATCAAAGGCATGTAGCCTATGTCCACCTCCATGCTCTCAGGGTCATCTTTGTCGTTCAGCCATTCCATATCTGGAGAAAATAAATCTTATGTTGTCTCTTCTTCTTCTTAGGCTATCCCTCTCAACAGATATTTACATGGTACTTTACTTTTTCTTTTTTTTTCTCAAAAGATATGTTCCGCGCTATTTACCAATCGGCACAAGAGTGTGCTGAGCGTTTTAACAATCGTATAATTGCGCGGCCATCTTAAAATAGCACGGCCATTTTAAGATTGCGCTACATGTTTTAACGATGGTATAATTGTACAGCAATCTGAAGATTGCATTAATATTTCATATTTTAAAGTAAAACATTTTATATATCTTAATTTTAATTTTCATATTTTTACACTTTTGAAAATATATGTGAATGTTCCTTGATGTGAGTAAAAGAATAAAAAATATAGACGGAAGTGAATTTTTTTTTTATTATTTCAAAAATATAAAATGAATTAAATGTACATTGTGAACTTTGAGTTTGATGCCAGGCATTGTATCATTCTTGTGAGCTCTTCAGTTTTATAAGTTAATTTTGATTTTAATTTTCATATTTTTACACTTTTGAAAACGTATGTGAATGTTCCTTGATGTGAATAAAAGAATAAAGATGGAAGTGTAATTTTTTTTGTTTTCAAAAATAAAAAATATTAACGCAATCTTCAGATTGCTGCACACTTATACCATTGTTAAAACGTGCAGCGCAATCTCAAAATTGCGTGGGACAGAAATACATGGTTGTCAATATAAATTGGAGAATTTAATCACGAGTCCAGCAACCAAAAGTGCATCCAAGCTTTGTGTATTGGCCTAATTATCTAAAAAGCTAAAAACCCTTTAAGGAAGGGAAAAAAGATCCACAAAGTAACAAGTAAGACAACAAGAGGTACCACCTGGCTACGAAAAAAAAAATTCAGAGCTTTTTCGACTCCATGGAAACACAAGTGCGGCTACTCAGAATTTACGGATCATAATATGTCATAAACATCTTGTATCAAGACCATTTTTGTACAAACTGCAATATGACATGCACAACTCAAGACAAAATCCGGAAAATTTCAAAAATCCGAATCTGGAAAAGTAACACCTCTGGACCACAAATGCAGATAGCCTACCAACATTCAAGCGTCTGTCCGTGGGAACAAACAAGTGTAAGTGTTCCACTCTGCTCCCGTCGCGGGACATCACCAGGGAACCCGCGAACTGGGAGGGTGTAAACCAGAAGGGAAGCAGTGGAGGTTCATTTAACTGAAACTCAGAATGCATCCTGCAGAATGGACAACAAAAACATGTTTAGAAAAGTGACTCTTCTGCGAACTCACTGAAATCAAGTCATTTCCACACAAAATGTTAAAAACAATAAAGTGATTTGCGTTTATCAAATATTAAAAGGGTAAAGACTTTTGAAAATTACTCATCATGAAAAAAAGCACAAATTTCTTGAGAAATTCATTTTCATCATAAGCTGCAACAAAGCTTTCAACAGTTTTGAAATACTTTCCCATAACCCATGTTTCTGCCACTGACCTGAAGGCAACAGCAATGTGACTCTGACTTATGGCCCTGACACAGGCCAGCACGCCCTGGGGCGGGAACCGCATGGTCACAAATGCTTGTGGGTGGAACATGGCCAGCAGATGCTGCACACTGATTTCCCGCCCTACAGCTCTCGGTGGATAGTAGCGATTGCTGGGCAGATGGGGAGAGCCTAGGAGTCCATGAGGTGCCTCCACCAGGGAGTAGACAGTTCCTAAAAAGCCAAGTGAGTTTATGTACAGCACAGTTTATGTTAAGGAGTGTTTGCATATATAAATATATATGTAAGAGTTCATGTAAAGGAGTTTTGCATGCAGGAGAAGTATATGTAAGGAGTATTTGCACATAGGAGAGTTTCATTTTTACATAGATAGAGGAGTGTTAGCATTTATATGAGCGTTGTATGAAAAGGAGTATTTGCATATAATATGAGAGCCTTTTTATTGAGAGTTTTATGTGCAGGAGTTTGCAGTGGAAAGGAATGGTTTGAACAGAGCCCAGATTGTAGAAGCCAGGCCAACGTTCACATCACTATGGGTTGTGAAAGACTGGAATGTGCTGTTTCATTAACGACAATGACATACGACAGTAAATTGAGAAACACTCTAAGTCACAGGATCCAGTGATCTACACGAATGAATCGGTCAGGAGGGGTGAGAGAAGTGGGTGGGATTTTGTGGTGTACAGTGGGAACAAACAGGTTCATAGCATGTCAGGGGCCATAGAAAGAACAACTTGAAGCATGAAAATGGAAATTGAGGCCGTAACAAGAGCGCTTGCCTGGCTTCAAAATACAAGACCAAGAACTGCCCATCTCATTATTGTCATAGACTCCCAGAGCATCCTGCGAAGGGTTGAGAAAGGGATGCTTCGGAGTGAATGGATGAACTCATTACTTAGAGCGATCACGTGAATATTCTGTCCTAGGCACAATGAGGAGGCTGATAGGCTGGCAGGCAGTGCTGTAGTTGATGGTGAAGTGAAATTTGACAAAGGAGAAGTGTTGAAGACCCTGGACTGGAGGAAAAGTTGCGGAATGAGAAAGACAGGGAGACAGCAGAACATCACGCAATCATCAGAATGCAGGAAAATGGGATAGAGAGGGGAGAAGGTAGAAAGGAACAATTATCTGGAAAGGAAAGATGTCACCATAATCAAACAGCCACTGGAACAATCAGTATGGATACCTAGCTTTGGTGCTGAGAGGAACTGAGCACTTATGGACCTGTCTGGTGTGCAATGACGTTGTTGCCCAGGACAGGTAATACATGTAATACAGGAGTGCTAATGTAAAGAACTGCTAGCAATTATGAGAGCTTTATGTAAAAGAGTGCCAGCCTACAGGAGAGTTATAAACAGGAGTGTTTGCATACAGAAGAGTTGGCATACGGGAGAATTTGAATACAATGGTGTCTGTGTACAGGATTGCTTGTGTATGCCGGTTGTTTATGCACAGCGGTTTTTGAGCATATAAGAGAATGTTGAAAGATAAAAGGCCAAAAAGACACGGCCAAAACATATTCAAGCCTTCTCATAAAATTTTTGTTGCAATGCATAGCTTCACCACTTTGCATATATATGTTGTTAGACATTCAAAAACATCTCATATTTGACCAGGCTGCACCAGTAACATTATAATCTCTCTCCCTCCCTCCCTCCCTCCCTCCCTCC